AACTGAGAGAAAACTTATGTTACTGTTTTCTAATATAAATCTAGCAAAATAAGTAGTCCTGTGATAAATCTTTGATTTTTAAAATTTTACAAAAAACCCTCAAAATTTTATAATAAAACAATATGCAAATAATAATAATTAATATACTGTATATCATTGTTTTCAAAGTAGCATACAGCATTGGCAATTCAAATTGATTAGGGTAAACTTATAACCATACCTAGCCTGGATGATTAGGAAGTAGGAACTTTGCATCAGAACTTGAAATCCATCATTCTTTTCTGAATGAGGATTACATATTGGAGCCTGTCACAGTTCACTTTTTGTTTGATTTGAGGCATTTAATTTTGAATATAAAAGTATAATTGGGATACTACTTGTGAGAGAGGGCTTTTTTTATACTATAAAGGTATTAGGATCACTTATTTGAAGAACGTTTTTAATGAGTCTTGAATTATCATCTTGTGTTACCATTAGAAACAAAAATTGAATTGTATTCATTTTTGTCTCACATAATCCGGTAAGTCAGAGGCTCTCAACTTGGCTTCATAGTAGAAAACTTGAACATATTTTTAGAATCCTTATTGTTAGTCCTTAAGCCCCTGGATTTGTGATTAAGGTGGGTCTTGGGAAATAGTATACAGAAAAGTTCACTCCATTTATTCTAATGTGCAGTCAGGGCTGGGAACCACGGAGCTAAACAACTTGGCATGCAAGGAAAATAATCTAGATCCCGTGTTCATCTTTTCTACCTGTATTCCTCTTTTAATTTTTATTGAGTATCGAATGAACAAACAGCTAGAAAGGTCAGAGCAGTTGGCCATCTGTGTCCTTGGGTTCTCTATCCAAGGATTCAACTAAGGATTGAAAATACTGAAAAACATTACATCTGTAGTGACCATGTATGGATTTTTCTCTTGTCATTACTCTAGCAACTATTTGCATAGTGTTGACATTGTTGAGTCTAGGAATGATGTAAAGTGTACAAAAGGATGAGCATAGTTACAGGTAAGTACTGTGCCATTTTATATATGGGACTTGAACATCCCTGGATTTTGGAATCCTTGAGTGTCCCAGAACCAATCCCTGCAAGTTGCTGTAAGACAACTGTGTAGGTCTAACCTTATATACTGATTGATTTCCACCATAATTTATCCATGCGTAATTTATCTTTGTCCTTTTATGAATATGGAAATTTAGGGACATCAGCCTTAAAATGTAGAAGGTAGAATCTGACAATGACTTTGTACCCCAGCTGGACTTAGCCAGTACATCAAGATAAAGCGAGTCAATGCCTGAACAGTGCTAACAGAAGTACGTTGTTCTTGGAAGTCACATCCTATTCTTGGTTTTATAAATGTCTCTGTGTACATGTGGATTTCACTGGAGTATTCCAATTCCCTTGATTCTTTTTTAAAAAAATAATTTTATTGGTACATTTAAGGTATACAATATAATGACATTCACTGTTGGAAATTTGCACCTTTGTGTAATCCATCTTGGTTCTTGTTGTTTCCCCATCCCACTCCCCTCCCTTCAATCCCTCCTTCCCACCCTATCTACAAAGACTTTGTTTCCATTTTGTTCATTTTCTCAACCAATTCCCTTTATTTTGTTTTTTCATTGAAGAGGAATTTGTTGTTTACTAAAAATATATTTAACTTCATTCATTTCTTAAAAATAGTTTTGATCCTTAAAAATAGATGTTACACTGTCTTCTCCTTTGGGGTTTGGAAAATGTCACTGTGTCCATAGTAGTTAGACTTAAATGAGTTTACTGGTTTTAATCTAGGGAAAGGGAATAACATTCAGTTTAAAAATTTTCCCATGTAAAAAGCAGGAATCCTGAATTCTCAAATGCCTTCTACTTTGTCTATTTTAACTTCACTGTAGAAGGTGATGCTTTGGGCTCTAATTAAATGCTTGCCTCTGGCTAATTTTCCTTTGAAAACTTCCTGGGCAATGAAGAGAAGAGAGGAATATTAATTTCTTTTTGGCTCAAAGCTGTTCGACTCCTGGCTGTCACAAAAGTAATCTCACCCCTGTGGTTCTCTATGATTTATGACACGGCCCACCTGCTACTACTGGTCTTCTTCCTTCCTCTCACACTTCCTTTGCCCTAGCTTTGGCCTCACTGGGCTTTTGCTCTGAGATCCAGGTAGTGGTCATAGCATTACTAATAAACCACAGAGAAGCTGCCGAAGGTTCAGATGGTGCCTGCTTGCATAATTCTTTTAACTGCCCCTTTGTATGGAATTGCGAAACGTTTTGAGCATCTCAGAAGGAAGAAACTATGTAAACATGAGGTATTATTTACTAGTTGTTTATTTGTATTTGTTATTGCAATTTTAAAAATCAAATGCATTGGAGTAATAGTGGGGGCCTGTGTTTTAGGGCAGTGGCTTTCCATATTATCTAATATTGTATCAGTATTTTCTGTCACAAATAACTTTAAGGTTTAGGACTTTGCACATGTGCTATTTAATTGCATTCAGTAATCATTTTTAACTTTCTGTTTAGAGCTAGAGTTAGAAGTCTGATGATACAGTATCTAGGAATAGAACTTGTTTGGGATAAAATTCTGTGTAAATTGGGCAATTTATGATCGACACACAGGAAATAACACTTTTTTATGTACTACTTGTTTCATTCAAAGAAAAACATTAATTCTGAAACTAAAGACTAAATCTAGTAGGTACTAGTATAGTCAATCTTACTGTGGATTAACACTTAAGAATTCCTTTTTTCTGTTAACGTACTTTTGCAAACTCTTGCTCTACAGATGTGCACAGTGAATAAACTCTCTGTTAAAAACTGAGAAACTTGCCAGGGATTTAGCTCAGTGGTTCCACCACCTGCTTCACAAGCACAAGGACCTGAGTTGGACCCCCGGTGCCAAAAAAAAAAAAACCTGAAAAAGTTTACTTGTAGACTGTTAAGGTTTAAGTTATTGTAGAATCATTTTATGTTGTTATATGAAGTGATATTCTCAAGCCTATGATGTCTGGATTTAATTATTTTGAGGAAAAACATTTTTAGCATATATAGATAGATAGATAGATAGATTTATTTATTTATATATATATTTCTAAAGTACTCTTGAAATTTAAAAATTAAATCAAACCTGAAAAAGCAAGTGAACTACTATAGACATCGATGCCATATAATTTTAGATTGACCAATAACATTTTTGTCAACAATCTGTTCATACAGGAAACCATGGCCATTTGGATAAAGAAATTATAGTAAAGATGACTTCATTGCACTATTTCAGAGATTCATCCTTTTTATTTATTTTTGTTGTTGTTGTTGTTTTTGAGACAGGGTCTCACTATAGTTGAGTTGAGATTGACCTGGAACTCCCTATATAGCCCAGGCTGGTCTCGAACTCATGGCAATCCTCCTGCCTCAGCCTCCCAAGTGCTAGGATTACAGGTGTGCGCCCACCACACCAGGCTAGAGATTCATCCTTTTTAAAAAAGTCCTTCTGTAGTGTTTTTAGGATTAAATAGTTTTATTTCTACCAATTTACATAGGGGAACATAGGAAAGTAAGATGGTGGCAGTTTTACTTAGTGAAGGTCAAATCATCGTAGAGCTTCATAAAATATTTTCTTTACGCTGTAAGCATTGCACATGATTTTAGGCAATTATGACTAAAATTTTCTTAACATGTTCAGAGCATCATAAAATGACCAGAACTTGAGAAGACTGTTATAGTATTTTACCTCTTATATCCTGGAGAATATCCAGGGTCACTTTGGCATGTGTGACTTGGGAAGGATTTAATATTATATTCTTTCTCTTCTGTTTCATGGCTCCTGGGTATCTTTTCTATATTTCAGTTATGTTTCAGTTAATTTTTTTTTAATGTTACTCACTGTGAGTCTATGTTTTCACAACGTCACAATTGTGGTGTGTCTGAGCTCCCTGATCTGCTTTTTCAGTATTGCTACTTTTTTTTCTCTTTCTCATTGAGTTTATTGGTACATTTTAGGTATACAGTACAGTTACATTAATCATTTGGATCTTGTACCTTTACGTGACAGGTCTTGGTTCTCATTTTTCCCCTTACCCCTGCCCTCCCTTCACCCCCTCCTACTCTCCCCCTTTACAAACATTTTATTTCCGTTTTTTCATTTTCTCATATTTTTTTCTTTTCCATAGTATTGCTACTTTGTCAGTATTGCAATGGTACCAGCTTTTTTAGCCTCTGAATTAGAAGCTTTCTATGGAATAAAAATGTTTTAATTGCTTAGACTCTGAAGCTTTCCAAAAAGCTAGAAACATTTGAAATGACTTGCATATCGATAGATAACTAGTGCACCAAAGTGCCTCTGAGCTGAAAACAAATTTCAGTAATTTCAGTAATTTCCAAAGCTGTCTTAGCAAGGACCTCAAGGGAACTGGAGCATGATAATACTCCAAGGTAAATAAATACCCCTTTTCCTTTGTTTGGTTCTCTAACAAGTGACAGTGAATTTGATTGGCATTTGTTGTTCTTAGCCACTGACCATTATTCAGTCTTACTATTCCTTCTCCTGCCTTGGCAACATGGTGGCCGGAAAGATGGAAAGAAAGAAGGGCAAGTAATTGTCGTACCCAAGAAAGTGAACAGTTTTGGAATGTGGAATCTGGACCTCCTTTTCTTAGCTTCCATTTATATCCTTTTTTTTATTTGTTTGTTTATATGTTTTTTTGAGACAGGGTCTTACTATGTAGTTGAGACTGCCCTGGAACGCACCATGTAGCCCAGGCTGGTCTCGAACTCACAGCAATCCTCCTGCCTCAGCCTCCCGAGTGCTGGAATTACAGGCGTGTGCCACCACGCCTGGCTCACTTATATCCCTTTTACCTAATCACTAATCGGTTGTTTTTCTATATTTGTAGCACATATAGAGTTTGTGTATGTTTGTATTATCCTTTGGAAATGTTCACGAGCACCTGTCTGGGTGTGAAAGGTAATTTCTATTCTTCTATTTTCTGATTTCTGAACTTCAGGAGAAGGTAAAGCTTGATGCTGAAAGGGAAAAACTAGAGAGGCTTCAGGAGCTTTACTCCGAGCAGAAGACCCAGCTGGACAATTGTCCTGAGTCCATGAGGGAACAGTTACAGCAACAACTGAAGAGGGTCAGTAGCAAACAGGAATGCACCAGTTCTTTTTCTTTTGTTTTGTTTGTTTGTTTTTTATTAAGTTCCATGTACCTGTGACTTGCTACTTCACATAGCATAAATTTGCATAAATTCTAGTCATTAGACACTTTTTAAATAGAAATATGGATGCTAATAGTGTACATTATTCTATGCTAACCAGTTAAACATTCCTTTTATTAGAATGCTTCCCCTAACTTGTAATGCAAAAACATTTCTAAGTGTTGTTCTTTACAAGACGTGTAACAGACACCAAGGTTATAGCATTTAAATCAGCTGACACCTTTCCTCGTAGTTTTTGCTGTGTTGTAAGTACTAGTTGCCCTTGAATTATTTTTCCTTAGCTTGACTTTTTATTCTCTTCCAAAAATTACCCTGTTCTCTGATTTGCCCTCCACCATCACTCTCCCTCCCCTCCCCTCCCTTTCTCTTTCTGCTGCTTAATGACTTAGAAGTCATGAGCGCGATGACAGCAGGCAGCCTGGGAGCTCCAAGAAACAGGGCATCACCAGTGCTCTGAACATCTTCTCCTATGAACATACTCAGTTTTTCCTCACTGAGTTTATTGGTACTTTTTAGGTATACAGTACAGTTACATTCATCATTCGGATCTTGTACCTTTGCATGACAGGTCTTGGTTCTCACTTTTTCCCCTTGTCCCTGCCCTCCCTTCACCCCTGCTTCCCTTCCCTATTTACAAAGATTTTGTTTCCATTTTTCCCTTTTCTCATATTTTTTCATTTCCCTTTCCTTCCCCTACCCTTCCCACTTCTCCTACTCCTTTAGCCCTTTTCTTCCTCTTTTACGTTATCATTTATACATTTGAACATTATTTAAACTTTTAGTTTTTCACACCAGAGAAAGCATTCGGTATTTACACATGAACATCCTCAATTTTAAAAGCTTATTACAACATGTACCTTCTAATTAAAATTTATCTGGTTATTCTCCTATCTCCTTGCCAGCCATGCTGGTTTTCTTCTGAAAGGAGACTTCATGTGTGGACAACTTAACAGACACTGACACAACCACTTAATCTTTCATAGCCTCTTGACAACTGAATTGTTTCCTCCACCCAGCTGTGACCCCAGGCAATCAGTCATTAGCAATCTTGAACCTCTAAAGGAATCATGTGTTAGTAATTTGTCCTGAGTGAGTAACAATTTATGATTTCACATCAGTCAGCAAGGGTAGTTTCATTCATGTTTTGTATGTACTGCCCAAGGAATAAGGTTGAAAAGTCAGTTAAGATAACAAACTCTTGAAAATTTTTAAGATGACTTTCAATATAAAAATATGCTTCTGGGAGCAGGAGTAGATAGTAAACAATTCCAGTTAAAACAAGTGTAATGGTGAGCTGGAGAGCATCATAGTGAAGAGTCTGCAGGGCAGGGAGGCTAAATGGCAGCATAACGATTTAATGCTTATTTCTTACAATATTGAAGCAAACAAAGTTTCGACAGTGTGTCTTCCTCTTTACTCATTCTCATTCAGCAAAGCTGAAATGGCTGTAGGGAGATAAAATTTCCTATCTCTTGGTGTCATAATTCTCTTTAAATTTTGTGATACAAATGATTGGGAAAGGACTAGTATTTGTTAAGTTATTATAGTTTGTAATTGTGTTACGCCAGTTCATAAGATTTGGGAAGACCAGAATATGAATATATATATTCATATATATATATGTATATATATACATATATATATAATGTGTTTTGTTTTGTTTTTGAGATAGGATCTCACCATGTAGCCCAGGCTGGCCTCCAACTCTCAGCGATCCTCCTGCCTCGGCCTCCTGAGTGCTGGAATTACAGGCATGCACCACCATGCCTGGCATGGATTTTATATTTGTTTACTGTTTTTAGTCTGCCTTATTGTGATTTTATACAATCATAATTCTTTATTTAGGGTCATGGTTATATATTTTCTTCTTCCTTTTCTCTAGTTATTCATTATGTTTGTATTCTTTATATGTTTTTTTCAAAAGAAAAGCCAGGAAAGTCTATTAATAAGTTTGACTCAGGTTGATATAATACTTTCTATTTGCATGATCTAGATTCTCTTGGAAAACTCATAAATTTATATATGCTTTTAAGGATTTTGCCTGTAAAATAAGCAAGGAAATGCAGCAGTCTGTTCCACTGAATGAAGACATAGACTCCTTTACCTTCCTTTTTAAACAGGGTGTAAAATTCTTAAAATAAAACCCCTTTCCATAGCAGAGATAAAAGAATTATTGTAGCTTCTACACATCTGATAATAAAATGTGTACTACCTCTATTTTCCAGGGATGATAACCAGTGTAACTCTTCACCAATCCCTTGGCTGAATCAGTAAAAATTCATAGGAGGTCCGTTCATACCAGGAAAATTCATGTGTTGTCTCAATTCATTTATCTTCAGATTTCAGTCACTTCCCGGTACCATTTCATTACAAAATTTTCCTGAAATTATTTAAAGTAGATTCGATAGAAATTTATTTTATTACATTTAATCTCATTAGATGACACATAATATAAAAAATAAATGAGGGAGAGGAAAATCATTTTCATAAACTTCATGTTGTTCTAAATACTTAGGCTGAAATTATGTGACAGTCTTTGCATAAAGCATTATATTCTTATGGCTGGACCTCTTACCTCTAGATCATTTATTTCTTTAGAGTCTAAGTATAGTTTTTAGCTGATGCTAACTTCATGAGTTAGATGATTGTGCAGTCAATATGGACTCACCGATCCTGGCATTCCAGCAGTGTGGAAAAGGTAGCTGAACTTTAAGTGTTTGGTTTGCAGGATATGGTCCACTGTTAAGTGGAGAAGACAGGTATCTGGCTGGGATAATTTTCCTTTGCTTTTGATATTTGCTCACCTGAATTGTTGATTTGGATCTCTTGATTTTAAAAAAATCTATACGGTGATATTCACAATGAGTTCACATTTTTATGTCACTGGCTCTGAAATCAGTTTATCCTTTAATCTCAGAAGAGTGTTTCAACTTCTGTGGGCCTCAGTATCCTCATATATAAAACCAGAGGCTGTACTGTTATCTTGTTCCATATTTTCAAAGCATACAGTGTTTGACTATCAAGCAAAAGATGGAGAAAAGGTAAAAAACCCTGAGTCTTTTTACATTTGCTTCCAGAGTTGGCCTTAAGCCATCAGGAGATTATTTCCATGATCACTACTGGCCCTACATCTGTTCTCTTCTTTGTGTCCCTTCATTAGGCAATGGAAATATAAAGATCTGCATGTAAACTTCTGCCTTATAAATTCTCAAAAAAGTTATTGAAAAAAGAAATTGCGTAGATTTCTGCTGTTTTATTTTGTTTTGTTTAATGCTTGAATTTTAACCTTACAAATCAGTAGAGATATACACTGTTCTTCTGATGAGTGAGTTTAGTTAAAATCTTCTCAGTTGATCAAAGTATTTGACTCTGAGCTTCCTGTATATATTATTTGGTCTCTTTTAAGCTACTTCTGTCCCCAAATTCCATTCCCTGAATTCTTATTCTTATCCAAAGTCTTTTGAAAGTTTTATCCCCCGTAAGTAGCTTTACTGTAAAAGAGAGTATAAGTTTATATACACATATTTTAATGGTTTAAGTGGCTTGATCCAGCAAAATCTTGAGTATTCAGTTTAGCTTAATTTTCAGCTTTTCTCCCTAGTGTGCTATTATTTTTATTCAGTAGTTTAAATATTTACTACAAGTAAATTATTGACTCTCTGACCTTCACACAGGGTTAAAATAACATGTTGTATATTAACCAGATATACAGTAAGCAATGGACCAGAAAAGTAAATGTGTGTATGTCAGGAGCCTTATGCTCAAATTGGATGAAGATTATTTAAAGGCAAAAAATGGGCTTATTAATTTTTATTTCTTAATCTTTAACCACAAACTAAGCTTAATTAAAAAACCTTGAGGCTGGATGTGGTGGCACATTCCTGTAATCCCAGCACTTGGGAGGCTAAGGCAGGAGGATCGAGACCAGCCTGGGCTACATAGTGAGTTCCAGGTCAGTCTCTACCTAGTGAGACCCTGTCTGAAAAAAAAAAAAAAAACCTTGAAACTTGAGCATGTATGCCTCTGTGAGTGAATACATCAGCTACATTATTTTAAGACTGCAGATGTTTTATTTCAAGATATAATACTTATCTCTTAGTTTCTTAATTCATCTTTATGAATTAACTCTTTAGAAATCACAAACTTGAAATATCTGATAAACTGGAAATACTAGCCAAAAATTTAAAATCAAGCCCACACTTTTTTTAAGCCAAATAAAATGTAAAGATATTTTAAGAAATGCTGAATAGGTTTTTCAAATTATGATTTTTCTGCTTTTAAGCTATAGGAGTGTAGCCTACCTTAACATAATGATCTTGTTGCTATAATATTGACTGAAATTGCATGGTAGCTAATAACCCTTCTCTGAATCATCCCTAGAGTATAATTCATTGCTGAAGATAGAAATATGTTCTGTTTAACTAAAAACCTTAAATATTCATAGACAAAAAATCAGAAGAGGGTAGAGTTAAATAGTGAGATAGAGCTAATTTAGCATATTATTTTTGTAATAATCTTTGAGGGTTTAATTGAGCAACAACAAAATGCCTCAACTCTCTTAGTGATGTAGAAATTGTTAGTTGCATTGCTCAGCTGCCTTTTTATTTTGGTAATAGACCATTTGTAAATTACAATTTAAAATTATTTTATAGTACCACATGTGTAATTCTGTCAGAGGCTCCAAAGTTAAAGGGGTGAGTTTTTTTTAAAGTGTGTTGGAGCATAATTTATGTAGCATGTACCAACTCTTGCACGAATGCATTCTTGTCTCCAAGTACCTAATGTGCTGGAGAAGGCTTATTCTAGAGCATGTGATTTGGGGGATTTCTTTACCTTCTTTAAATGCCCTCAAGTCTTCTCAGAGTAGTGGTGCTTAGCTTTTTGAGTGACCTTTTGTGCCTGAAGAAAACTTTGGCTCTATTCTTTCCAGTAAAAATTGTAAAAATTTTAATGGGTTCCTAGAAACACAGTTTAAAGATTGCCATCTCCAAATGTTTTTAGCAGGTTTTTTTTTTTTTTTTAAGAGCAGTTTTAGAGTCTCAGTAAAATGAGCAGAACAAGAGATTTCTCATACACTCCCTGCCTGACACATGCATGTATCCCCCACGACAGTGGTACAATGGTTACAGTTCTGGGCGTCTAGTACACATCATTATTACCCAGGGCCTGTGTCTAAATGTTTTTATTTATCCCTTCAATAGAATTATTTGAGCAGGTATATCCTTTAATTTGTATTACATTTATTTCATCCATACTCAAAAGAAAATTGTGTATACTATTCTACTGGAATGTACATTAGAAGACATTTATTAAGAAATTTAGAAGCCGGGCATGGTAGTGCACACCTGTAATCCCAGCACTCAGGAGGCTGAGGCAAGAGGATCACTGTAAGTTCGAGACCAGCCTGGGCTACATAGTGAGTTCCAGGTCAGTCTCAACTACATAGTGAGACCCTGTCTTAAAAAAAAGAAATAAATTTAGAGAAGAAAGTAAAAACTAAACATATAGATAGAATGTCTAATAATTTCTCTTCTCATTCCTTTGGATGGCGTTGTGTGCCATTTCGGGTATATGTACCCCCTTCAGAGACCTCTGGTTTATGTATATGCTAAATTTTGGATTTTTAATCTCTAAAGTTTCATTTCATATTTCATGTGAAAATTGTGGGAAGGAGGAATTTTTCTTAAGAGCCTATATCTTATCTTCATTCTGTAGATAACATGCTACTTATTGAATGATTTTTATATATCACTATGCACCTTAAAGGCACTAAGAACTCCTGCATGCACAGAGCAGCCAGAAAGTGCTGGGGAAGCTCTTGCTCTTGCTGCCCTCTCCGTGGTGCCCACTCCATCCCACTCCCACAGCCCCTACTCTGAAGTTGGACCCCATCATGCTGTAGCCTTGGCCAGTGCTAGAGACTGGCTGCTTTTCGTGATTGTTTCTTCGGTAAGAAGCTTACAGCAATCCTGGCATGTCTTGTTTTTGCCTCCTGTTCTCCAAAGGATGCCGACCTGTTGGATGTTGAAAGCAAACATTTTGAAGATCTGGAATTCCAGCAGCTTGAACACGAGAGCCGTCTAGATGAGGAAAAGGAGAACTTGACTCAGCAGCTCCTGCGTGAAGTGGCTGAATACCAGCGAAACATCGTCACTAGAAAGGTACTTTGGCCAGGTGATGTTTAGTGGGAAAAACTCCTCACTATGTGCCAGTAATGATCATTCATATAGTTATGGGGTGGGGTGTGTGTGTCTATTTTTGTATCTGAATATTTTCATATATTTAATCATATCACATTTAACAACTATGGAGGCTGCCATATATGGGATAGCAAATGGTGTTCTGAACCAGATAAATTAAGACAGGTTACAGTCGTTGGTGTATAATTCTGTACATGCATTTAGGAAAAAATACTCATTTTTTATTTATATAAAAACCAAGTCATAGAAATCAGGAATTCACATGCTTGCTTCAAATTACATTCTTTTATAACCACGCTAAGTAAATTCAGAATAATTTAGAATAATGAACCAAATCTACTTTGAAATTTTGTTTCCATAGCGCAGAAATTCCTAAAGTGAACTGATCACTTGTTACCATTAGAAAAAAGCCCAGGAGAATGCCACATGGATTCCTCAGAGTCCTCTTAGCCTGTAGCTCTTGGATGGCCTGCCCAGAATTTAGCTCTTGTCCCAGAATTTAGTATCACATCCCAGAACTCCCTACTAACCTGATAAAAATAAGAGATAAAATGGCGGGAAGGAAAAGACCAAGAAGACAATTTCTTAAACTCTGTTTAAGTAAAAATTCCAATGTTTTCTTCCAATCAGGCATCTCCAACATAATGTCAAAAATTCATTGAGAGTCTAAAACAATATTTCCTATTGACTTCTGGGTTCTTCACAGTAGAGTTTAACTCACTTGAACTATATTGGCCTTAAGTAAAGAAAAACGTTGAGAGCTAGGCCTTTTGATGCATGCCTGTGTCCCAGACTCAAGGAAGCTGGAGGACTGTTAAGTTCAAGGCCATCCTGGGTTACATAGCAAGTTCAACTCCAGCTTGGACTACATAGCAAAACTTTGTTTCAAAAAATCAAAAAGTGAAAACCAAGGGAAAAGGAAAGCAGTGAACTTTGCAGGTCAAAGTAGATGCTTCATGGTTTCTGAGTAGTAATAATTTCCCAGCAATTGAAACATGGCAACCGTAGTAAAAAAACTTTCCTCTCTTTTTCCAAGACAGACTGGCAGTCTTGAATGTCTCGTGCATCTTTCAGAGATCACGTTTTTTCTTCCAGGAGAAAATTTCTGCATTGAAAAAGCAAGCCAGTCATATTGTTCAGCAGGCTCAGAGAGAACAAGATCACTTTGTGAAAGAAAAGAATAACTTAATAATGATGCTACAAAGAGTAAGTATTTATTGTCCAGGACTGATTATAATAAAACACAGCTTTAAACACGAGGAAGACTGCCCCTTTCAAAATTCATTCTTTTTAACAGTGAATACCTATTAATTTAAGAAAGACTTTTGTGTGTATATTTTTATTTAATCTTCCATATTCATAAGCTGATACTCTGAGTGATTAACTACAATTCAGAAAATAAGCAAGAATGTTTTCTGCATGCTCTTTTCAAATTGTGAAAAATCCACACTGTAGAAAACTCTATAATCGGGCCAGGGATTTAGCTCAATGGTTCGGTGGCCTGCCTTGCAAGCACAAAGACCCGAGTTCAATCCCCGGTACCAAAAAAAAAAAAGAAAGAAAGAAAAGAGAACTCTATACTCTTTCTTATTTTTCTGTTTTAAACAAATCAAATTTTTCATCAGATAGCCAAAGTGAACAGTATTTTAGTGATAGATTTAAGGAAAAATGCTCTCTTGCTGTCAAACATTTTGGATCATCAGCTTCAGTGTTTGAACTCCAGTTTCTGTGTGTATGTTTCTTCCTGGAAAATGTCACATTGAAGTTAGCTGGATTTAATCAGATTTCTAGACAGTTTGTCTGGTGGGGTTAAAAGCGTGGCAAGATCATCTTCACCCAAGGGACTATGTTCCTACCTGTTTCAGCACCTGAAGTGACTACATGCAAAGGAAGTCCTTCAGCCAATGAGAGTAAAAAGCAACTTGTAGTTTAGCTTTCTAACATGGTTCCTGGTGTCATTTCAAGGATACAACACCAAATATCAATCAGAATTCATGGGGCTGGCCAGAGGTATAAGCCCTGCATTCAAGGTGCTACATAGGAAAATGACACCTGGCATGGTGAACTATGTAGTGGGCTCAGAATGGGTTACAAGAGAAGGATCAAATTCAGAAGAAAGATTAAGAAGGATGAGGCTGTACCATGGTTGCCTCTACAAAAAATGAACATGCCTTCCTGGCTGTTTATCTGTTAAGGAAGAGAAAATAGGTCCTTCACATAGAATATGAGTCCACTGGAGGTGCCCTGCGACCCACACAGATCCCTGACAGCATCTAGAAATCTCAGAACGGAGTTGTACTTTTCATCCCTATCCCCGGCTGTTCTCCCTACATTTTACCCTTTGCATATAATAATCAAAGGCACATAAAATAGAGGATATGTAATAGGATATAGGATAAACTTTTTCAAATGTGAAGGGGAGCAAGATAGGGAAGGAGACAACAAAGGAAAGGAAATGGATCTTAAAAAGAGTTGAAGGAAATCGAGCTTTTGCAAATGTGGAGGGGAAAAGTATTAGAGAGAGGTGAGGAAGGGGATGATAATGAATTAAGATGTGTTATGTACATGTATAAATTCCTCGTGATGAATGTGACCATTATGTACTGTAAATATGTACTAAAAGAGAAACATTTTAAATATTCAAGGTACATCTTAAATAGTCTATGTATTTCAGTAGTTGTTAAAATTTTAGGAAAAATAAAAATATCTCAAATGGTAGTTTTACAAATAGGTAAAGATAATTACAGCTATAACATTTACTCATTATGCATTGTATGCAAAATATAATTTGATTTTTAAAATTATGGTCCATCCCCAATAAGGTTTTGTTTCCCTCTTCATTGATTTATAGATATATTTCAGTCTCCAAATCTCAACAGATTTTTCCTTTATAGAAATTCAGGAGTTGGTGTCAAAATTTATAATTGTTCCCTACTATTCAAGGATTTCATAATTCTGATTTCACCTACTTGCTAAAATGTATTTGTAACCCCCAAATCAATACTTTTGGTGCTTTTGCAGTCATTCACAGAGCAGTGAAAATTTTGAGTCACCCCAAATGCACATTCCTAGCTGAGACTGAACAGGGCAACACCCTGCCTTCTTGCTTTAGTTCTCATCTTTGAAGCAGTCATCCTTCTTATACTCTGTTTAAGGGCATGTCTTCATATTTTTGTGCTGTTTTTAGTCATTTTGCTGTTTAACATGGCTCCCAAGCATAGTACCAAGTGCCATGTAGTGTCCCCAAGCCTAAGAATACTATGATGAGTCTTAGTGGAAAAATTCATTAAATTCACTTAGGCATGGGTCTTCCAAAGAAATACACATGACTGGCAAGGTAGTGCATACCTGTAATCCCAGCTATTTGGGAGGATGAGGCAGGAGGCCAGGTTCTAGGACAGCCTGGCCAACTTACTGAGATCCTGTCTCAAAATAATAAAAAAGGCTGGGTCTGTAGCTCTGCACTCCGTAGGTTCAGTCCCCCATACCATGGAAAGAGCGGACAGGAGAAGGGAGAGGGATGACACATAAAACAGTTATACAGTGGATCTTCAAGTTACGACTGGCCTGATGCATGAACAACTTGGGTTAATTAGGTTAATGGAAGTTTCATCTTCCTTTTGTTATCTATCATGTGCACCCAGGTAAACATCCAGATCTCAACTATACTGACTTAGTTACAACCTGCCCTTGGGAACCGATCGATCATAATTTAAGGGTCCATTGTATATGGATTAGTTGACAAAAATATGACCAGAGGTTCACAGGGACATATCTTTTCCTTTCCTCTAGGAGCAGTGGTCCAGTGTTTGTGATAGCATTATAAAAACTATGACAAGAACAGATATCTGCTATGTATGAAAATACAAAGAACCTAGACTAACCAAAATGAATTTAAACAAGTACAAAGTTAGAAGATGCTATTGTTTCACTTGAAGTTATACTACCCAGACAGTGGGATGCTGGCATAAAAATAAACATAGATCACTGGAACTGAGAGTCCAGAAATAAGCCATACATATACTATTGATTTTTTTTCTTTTTTTGACAAAAGTTTTGTGGAAAATCAGTAGGAAAAGGAAAATCTTTTCAACAATTGAATCAGGTGTGTAACCTTGGAAAAAAAATAAACAGCAACATCCTTATGTCGCATATATAAATTAATTCAAGATAAGTCCTAAACCTAAATTTAAAAACTGACATGACATGAGGCTATACTCTTAAGTGAAATAGATAGGAAACACTTGAGTAAATACTGAATAGTTTCTCTGGTGTGAAAAACTAAAAGTGTAAATAAGGTTCAAATGGTATAATTGAGAAGGTAAAATAGGAAGAAAATGGCCAAAGGGGAAGTGGGAAGGGGAGGGGAAAGGAAGTATGGGAAAAGAAATAATGTGAAAAAATTTAAAAATGGAAACAAAGTCTTTGTAAATAGGGAAGAGTGAAGGGGGTGAAGGAAGGACAGGAGTATGGGGAAAAAACAAGAACCAAGATACATCATGTAAAGGTACAGGATCCCAATGATAAATGTAACTGTATTGTTTGCTCTAAATGTGCCAGTAAACTTAATGTGAAAAAAAAGTGAAACATGACAAACCTTCCAGAAAAAAACGTGAGTACAAATATACTTGAATCTTGGATAAAGATTTCTTGCAGAATATTACAAAGATACGATTGCATCTAGAATATGTTAAAACTATTACAACTCAAGAAATAGTCATCAGTAAACTTTTTAAAAGCCCGCAAACCAAGATCTGACATGTAAGGATACAAGAGCCCAATGATGAGTGCAACTATGTTGTATACTTAAAAAGTACCAGTAAACTTAATGAAAAAAAAAAAAGCCAGCAAAAGTCTTGAACAGTCATGTTACAAAAGAAGATATATGAAGGGCCAGTAAGTCACACGGAAAAATACTCATCATTGGTCATCAAGGAAGTATATTTTAAAACAATCATATGATTCATCTCACCCCTCCTAAAGTGACTAAAGTTTAAAAGCAAAATTTGCAAATGTCAGCAAGGAAGTCAAGGAACTGGAACTTATATGGACTAGTGATGTGAGTAAAATGTACAACCCCTTCAGAGAACTTCTCTTGGTAGTTTATTTTATAGCTTTAAACATACATTTATCCTGTGACCCAGCAGTCTTACTCCTGGACATTTACACAGGAGAAAGGAAAATTATCTCTTCATATGTATGAGACTGAGACTGTTTAAATGAACAGACATTTCTCAGACAAAGAAGTAAAAGCAGCAAGTAAATATATGAAAAAATGCTCCACATCACTGGTCATTCCAGAGATGCAGATGAAAACAACACTGAGATTCCACCTCACCCCACAAAGAATGGCTGCTATCAAGAAATCACACAATAACAAATGTTGGCAGGGTTGTGGGGAGAAAGGAACCCTTCTCCATTGTTGGTGGGAGTGCAGACTGGTGCAACCATTGTGGAAATCAATATGGAGATACCTCAAAGAGCTTGGACTGGAGGTTCCATTTGACCCAGCCATCCCTCTGCTGGGTATCTTTCCAGAAGAACTAAAAGAATCATATCACAGAGAAGTATGCGCACCCATGTTTATAGCGGCACAGTTTGTAATAGCTAAAACTTGGAAACAGCCCATTTGCCCATCCGTTGGAAACTGGATAAAGAAGATGTGGTTTTTCTATTAAAATGGAATATTACTCAGCCATAAAGAATGAGAAAATAGATTAATTCATGGGAAAATGGACACATATTGAGGATATACTCCTAAGTGAAATAAATAAGTCACACGTGTAAATATCGAATAGTTTCTCTGGTGTGAATAAACTGCAATAATACATAAGATCCTAATAAGATTACTGACATTGTGAAATGGGAAGAAATGACTAAAGGTGTAGGGAAGGTGGGATGGGTAGGGGAAGGGTAATAAGGGAAAAGAAAAAAATGTGAGATAATGAAAAGAAAGAAATAAAGTGTTTGTAGATGGGGAGGGGAGGAGGGCGTGAAGGGAGGGCAGGGACAAGCGGAAAAATGAGAACCAAGACCTGTCATGTAGAGGTACAAGATCCCAACAATGAATGTAACTGTACTGTATCCCTCATATGTGCCAATAAACTCAATTAAAGCTGAAAAAAACAAAACAAAACAAAACAGAGCATTACATTACTCTAATGTCAACGAAGTTGTGGCATCACTTTGAAACCAGCAAGAATTTAAACCAAAAGGAATTGGATATGTTGAGTGTAGACACCATGAGAGCACTAAAACAAAAGGTATAACAGAAAGGAAAAGGATTTTGGAGCATTGGATGGATTGATTCTCACTTCTAAACACTTGTACGTCAATCTCCATAACCCACACAAGCAAGAAATTTTGTAACCTTTTCTGTTAACAAACAAAAGGTCCTAATGGTCACGAGTGAGGGGGCCCTGGTGGGTGTGGCCAGCTCTGCATTGGCACAGTCAGCAGAGCTCAGCATAGTGACCCATGTGATTCTCTGAGAGTGCTCGGTGCCCAGTGCTGCTCTTCTTCCTGCTGTCAGGATCACTGGGATTTTATACAGGAGGAGGAGACCCCTCACCTCATATCACTTCTATTGTAGCAGGTCGCCAACACCCCATTGTCTGAGGGGCTGGCGCTAATGTGCCTGATTTCACCCGCTTGGTGGAGGAGCACGTTCTTATTTATAAAGTTCTTTTCATCCTCAAAATCTATGATGTGGATCTGATTATCATATTTAAGAGACTGTGTCCCAACCCCCACCAAAAAAGTAGCTTTTTTATAATGCCCAAAAAACAAACAAAACACACTAGAAACAACCAAAATATTTACCAATAGGTGCATGGATAAACAACATGCCAGGTATACATATATGATATAATACTTGTCAATGTTGTAACAGTGAACTATGGATTTAGGTGGATTAGAAGAAGGTTACTCAGAGGAGTGCATATTGTATGATTCCACTTATGTATGGCCTTAGGAATCAGAACAATGGGGCCAGGGATTTAGCTCAATGGTTCCACCGCCTGCCCTGCAAGCACAAAGTCCTGAGTTCGATCCCCAGTACCAAAACAAGAAATCAGAACAAGGCCTTGCCCACTGGTATGGGGATTAATTGCAGGTTGTCATGAGAAAACTTCTGGGGTGATAAAAATGGTCTTTGTATTAGTTGGAAGGTTGCTCCATTTGTTGAGTCATGAAATTATATACGTAATATCTGTGCATTGTTCTGTATACAGATTATACCACATTAAATAAATAATGTGATCCATAAATATTTTTCCTGAATGTTGTGTAACACTGGATTAACTAAAGATGGATCACAGGACCACAGTTTTGAGATAATAAAGTTTCTACCACAAAACTGCCAGGGGAAAATATATTATTGGACTGTGACATTACATCATCAGAAGGCATGTGATTATGTGTTTCTTAAAAGTATAAAAAATTTATTTTAGAAAACGTGGAAGGTAAGGTTTGTGAAAGACTCAGAATGTGTCTCCTATTCTTGCTTCACCTAGAACTTCAATTTTTTTTCAATTTTTAAACACTTGAAAGGTTATATAGCTAAATATGTTGAAAACAACTCCTGGATCAGGTCAGCAAGCAGAAGGTGAGATACTTACGATGCGAAGTGTTGACTGAATACAAGGAGAAGAAACAGCAATGGGGCAAGTGCGTGGGTTTGGTTGTTTGTCTTAATGCAAAGTCGCTGTGCTTCTCAGCTATATCCAAGGTGAACTGCAAGCTTAACAGATGTTGTGTTTCCTCAGGAAAAGGAGAATCTTTGTAATCTGGAAAAGAAATACTTCAGCCTCTCAGGGGGGAAAGGGTTTCCTGTTAACCCCAGTACTTTAAAGGAGGTAAGCTGTGGTTTTTTGTATTTGTCCTTAGCGATAAGGAGATGTACCTCCGTTTTGTGTGGTTAGTTGAATAGTGAAAAGAATAGCTTAAATGGTTTGTGAAGGCGCTCAGTACTTTGACAGCTTTCTTGCCTTTCGTTGTATGCTTTTGAGGATTTCAGGAATAATCTTTGTGTCTAACGTATCTGTGCTGTGTGTGTGTGTGTGCGCGCGGGTGTGTTTACTTTTTTGGCAGAGACCATAAGGTATTTTGGAGTTTCAAAAGCACTTAGAGTCTCTGGCATCTAGACCAAGATAAGCTTTACATTCTTTCCTTCCTGCAACTTCCTTTATCTCCCCTTCTCCTCTTTTACTTTACCTCTCTTTCTCCTGAATCTTGGGGAACAGAGAAAGGCCCTCAGACATTTGAGGAGACAATCTCATGTGCATCTTCTCTCTGTTTCTCTTCCCATTGCTGTTCGTGGAACTTTCTCTTCTACCTGGGAATTCCTACTTACATTCAGCTGCATATCCTCTATCCATCCTTCTCTGGACCCCAATACTACTCTTTCCAAAATACACCCTTGCCAGGTTTCACTGATAGAATTTTTAATTATGATTTGGAATTTGGAAAATTATAATTATAATCCTGACTGAGAAAGAAAATTGTATTCTTTATATTTTCTTAACGTTCATCAGCTAAGGGAGAAGCTTGCATTATATAAAAATTTGCATAACCAAAAGAACTGCTCTTATTGTTTATAAAAATAGTACAGCTAGGGATTTTTACAAAGAAAACTGTGTGTAGGAAATAAAATCTTATTACAATAACAGGTGTGACTCTATGGATGCCTCAGAAGCATTTTTTTAAGAAGTATTACTGTGATAGCTTTGTTAAATCATTCAGTTTTGTAGTTTGTCTTCCTCATTGAGAACACAGAGCTGGCAGGGTCAGTGAACAAAGAGTGATTATGAAGGGAGTGTGGTGGTGTCACAGGGCTGGGAAGGGGCTGCCCTGTGAGTCATGGTCTTGAAATGCAGTTTACCTTATGTGTGATGGGAAGCCATTAACTGGCTGTACGTAGGGAGGTAACATCGTTTGAGACCATTTGCTAAAGATCACTGGGCTTCTCCGTGACAATCAGATTATAAGGTGTGGAAGATGTAAGGGAATGTGGAGGAGATAGCAGCAGTTCAGGCTGGAGATTCTGGGGCTTAAATAAGAGGGATGACAGGGAAGTAAAGAAGTTAGTTGGATTAATATACAGTGTGTTTTATTGGCAAAATTGAAATTTTTTTTTTTTTTTTGGTACCGGGGATCGAACTTGGGACCTTATGCTTGCAAGGCAGGCAGTGGCACCACTGAGCTAAACCCCTGGCCCAAAATTGAAACTTCTTGCTGGGAGGTTAGATGTTGTGGTGAAGTAAATAAAAGGAAGTGGCCAGAATGATGCCATTATTCCCCTTTAAATAATGAGGCTGACAGTATCTTTTATTGAGATAGAGAAGACAGGAAAAAGTAAGTTTAAAGGGAAGATTTGGATTTTGACCCTGGACACCCTTGGTTTGAAGGGCTTGTGGCTCCCAGATGAACTGGGTGGTCTCTAAGGTCTCTCTATCTTGTCTCCTGACAGAAAAATAAAATCTTTCATTTTCTATTAATCAGTTAGTTTTTTTTTCCTTGCAGGCTTGTAGTGTCAAAAGCACATTTGGCTTTTTGATTACTGTGTATCTGCACAATTTGTGCGGTTAAATCACACCTGTCTTATCCCTTTAATATACCAAGAAAATTTGATCAATTAAGTTTTTTTTATTTTGGTTTCTTGTCTTTGCTTTCTCTATCTCTCTATCTCTCTATCTCTCACTCTCTGTCTTTTTTTTTTTTTGAGGAGTGATGAATTTATGACCTTACTCTTTACTCCCACTTTTGACAGACAGCACACACTTTTGAAGCAATTAAGTTGTATGATCTATAACCATTTAAGGAATCTCAGTCCTTGGCTTTGAAACATTCTGTCAACTGAGCAAAAGAATAATTCACAGTTGCTAATTTTCTTTCTGATTCATTATCGCGTATAAAGTGAAATTTGACAATCTAGTTAATTACTTCCTTTCTTTGGTTTAACCGTATAAAACTTCATGTGATATCCATGGCCCTTTCAGAAGTACGAGACATTGATACATCCACTTGATAAGCAGTCGACTTCAGCTTTTCACTTTGTCATCAAAGTTCTCAATAAGAACTGATTTCCAGCCTAGAGTTTTCTGCTTACCAACATCACATCACGTCACATCGCATCTCATTATCTTGCCTTTTCTGGGGTCACTTTTCGAAAGCATCGATGAGCTAATGAAAGAACTCCACTGTCAAATTTAATTCCATTTTTCTTTTAAAAGAGAGGCATATTAGGCCAGGTGTGGTGGCGCACACCTATAATCCCAGCACTCGAGAGGCTGAGGCAGGAGGATCGCTGTGAGTTCGAGGCCAGCCTGGGCTACATAGTGAGTTCCAGGTCAGTCTCAACTATATAGTGAGACCCTGTCTCAAAAAACAAAAAACAAACAAAAAAAGAGAGAGAGGCTTATTTTATGTCCTTTATTCTTTTCCATATTGCTTTATTAGTATGGCAAAGAAATCATGATTGGTCTGTGGAATTGCTTTGCATGAAAATGTACAAGTACCTTTTCCACAAATATAAACTTAGGAATTTTGATTCTCAGAGATTTTGACTCATGGGTATTTTCCTCTAAGCTGAAACCAGAATTGAATTACTATGTTCAAAAGTAATGAAATTTTTGTCATGGGGTAGAGTTGGAGGTTGGGAGAATGCCTCGAATTGAAACACCATCCAGTTGCAAGTTTACTTTCTCTGTGTGCATGTGTGTGTGCGCACGTGCTCACCTCAGTGAAAAGACAATGTGCTTTTTATTTTCATTCAGTTGACATGCCCCAAAACTAAATTCCATTAGAAATAAATTACATTTTAAAAAATATTTTCTTAGCGAAAAATCCAATAACCTTCAGTCCACTTCTGCTGACACACTAACTCATCAAGAAACAGAAAAGGAGAAAATCTCAGAGAGCTGATTTGTGGAAAAGGTCCTTGAATTAGGGAGTGAGTGATTGCATTATCTGTCAGTTTTGTTTCTGGGATTTTTTGATATGTGATTCTTTTCAATGTATGTATAGTGACAACCTCATTTCATCCACAGAATGAATGCTGATTTACCTCTGGATATTTTAAGATTGAAGGTCTAGCATTGTTTATAACAGAGTCATCTTGATTTCACTAGAAGAATTATGTTTAATGTTTAGAACGCCATTTTTCAATATTAAGCACCATAAATCCATTTTAATTGCTGATTACCCTCTTAATGAAACATTTGATAATACCCAGATATCTGGCTGTGCTGCTCTCAGCTAACTCCATTGTACTGGGAATATTAATACCCTCGCATGCCTCTGCTTTTGCTTTCTTTATGTCTAACTTCTGAATTCCTCCTTTTAGGGCTATCTCAGTGTAAATGAATTTAATGAGCCATGTGGCCCTTCCACGAATCTCTCCCCTTCCACTCAGTTCCCCGCTGATGCTGACGCTGCTGTCACTGAGCCTGCCTCAGCTGTGCCGGTGAGCCAGCCACAGAGTCCAGAGGTGTGTGGGCGCGACATTTCATTCATTCATTCCTTCACCGCTGTTGCTCATGTCACAATAAACCCGTGGTAACCGAAAGACGAGTGAAACGAAAACGTGTGTGACAGATAGATGTCGTTTTGCCAGAGCGCCAGAGGGATGCCAAGTTCATAAAACATGATGAGTTGGAAATAATGTTAGAAACCATGAAATATATACTACAAATGCAGGAAGGACTAAGACAAGTAACTTCAGATAGATAAGCAGAACACCTTAGTACTCTAACCTGATCTAGTTTTCTTAGAAATTCAAAACCCAGTCTGAAACTTCTGATTTGAATCACCTTTCCAGGTTTTTATATATATATATATTTTGTTTTTTAACCTATATTTTGTTTTTAATGATAAACCTCTTAAAAGCATTGTTGGGAGTGGCCAATAATAATAAATTAAAATGTTTGGTAGTGATCCAAGTGGATTTCAGTGTGGGATTTTAACAAGAGACTACATTGAAAGATATCATCCAACATGGGTAACTTCCTGAGTAATGTGTAACAACAGAATGAACAGATTATCGATTTCATGTCTTTGTCTTATCCTTTAATTTCATATGGACATATATATATACCTTTTCTTTCTCCTGTAAAGCAAAGATCACCTGTCTGTTCTGGATTTATGTTTCCTTCCATCCTTTCTCTTCATCCTGTCACTCAACCTGCGTCAGCCCCTTGGCTGGAAGTCATGGCTACATCTATTGATTCTTTCCCTCTAAATGATACACCTCCTCCTCTACCAGCTAAGAAACACAGAAGGCAACAGCAGCAGGAGCAACAGGTAATCAGGCACTGGTATTCAGAGTGTGCAAGTTTTATTTTACCTTGCTAACAAAATCTCTTATGTGGAGTCTCTTCTTCAACTTTTTCAAAGGTGATTTTTTAAAAAAGATAAATTGCATACTTCTTTTTTTGTCGTTGTTTGGTTTTGTTTTCCATAAGGACATCTAGTATGTTCTAAGGGTGATTGGAATTTTTAGAAAGTTTTAAGAGCTTGTTTGTCCTCAACTGGCTTTTGGTATATTCAAGCAGATTTCACATCTTTACACTTCAGTTCCCATTTCAAAAGATTACAGTTCATCTCAGATTTTCTCAATACACTAGTAAGTATTTCCATAAAATCCATATTGTAAAAACTTGTGTATCAACGTGAAATATTTTTATTATATATTACTGAAACCATATAACTATCATTCCCTTGCTGTGTGTCAAAATCTGCCAAGCAAATATTTCTCTTCTTTCAACAATCCTGTGGAAAAAAATTATCTTCTCCCAGAAGTTTAAGGAACTGAGGCTAAGCCTAGTTAAGTAGCTTGTCCAAGGTCATATCACAAATTGTGCATTAGGCGTACAGAAAGCCAATTTTTATTGACCGAATTTTTAAGTAATTTATTATTCCAATGCAATCTTTTTCATACACTTAAGTATATATTAGTGCTTGGATATATGCTCACTAGATCCTCAAAGAATTCAAGTCCTACTTTTTGTGACCAACTTTCCCTTCTCATTTCCTGAAGATACCTTTACTATTAGCATTTGTTAAAAGACTGCATCTCTTCACCGTCTTCAAGTTACAACTACCTGGGATGATATAAAAGGAAATTGGTGGGAACAATGGATCAATAAGTGATGTCTACAAGGGTATAGGTAGGAGAAAGGAAGGACTAAACACCGTCACTTTTGATGTTACATTTCTCTCAATAACAGCTTCACTGAGGGTAAAAGATATCTTTTGGCTAATAGAAGAGCCCTGCTATTTTCTACCAAATATCACTTAAGCTGTTTTTATTGGCGTTTCTTTCCTATTTTATTAAGCTACCACTGTGCAATATTGGAAAGTTTTTATTTCAGAATTTGTGACAATTAGTAATGGCAAGGATAAGATTGCCATGCTCTGATGTCATTTTTCTATCTAAAATGGCCATTAATCAACCAAATTGTGAAGTTTTATTATTGCAATGTGGACATCTGGCCATGAATTCCAGCTTTTTCACTTTCTACTTGCATGACCTTGGGCAAGTTTTTTAAACTTCTTTATATCCAAGGTTCTCCATTGTAAAATAGTGATATAGAACTAAACTCAGAGGTTCACTATACGATTGAATGAGATAATCTTGTTAGAGCCTCAAACCTGGCATATAGTAACCTCTTAATAAGTATTAACTGGTATAAATAGGTCCCTCTGAAGTTACAGTATAAATATGTCATAATTGGCATGAATTAATTTTATGTATTTCAGTATCTTGAGGTTGATATTAAAATGATCAGACATAAAGAAAGTGGTTAGAAAATCACTTTACTATTGAAGACATTTAGGAGAAAGAGACCAAAAAAATAAGTTTCAAGCTGGTAAAGATCTTACCTTAGAAATCTGAAAAAAATAATCAACTAGAGAATTATTAATTATGAGCTATTATTATAAGATCTCTTTGACCAAGATCTTTTTAAGTGCGAAGGTACCCTGGAAGGATCCCCTCTATGGAAACTTCCGTAGGTTGGGAATGTTCATTTGGTGAAGTATTATTACTGCTGTGTACTTGCTTTTCCCTTCTTTACCTGCCCCTTCTCCCTTTCTTGTCCTCCTCACACTGGGATCTGTGCCATTACACAGAACAGTCCAGATAGACTAGTGGCAAAGTCACTTTGGCCACTGGCTGTTCTGCTGTCCATATGTGACCATTATAATAATTTGTAAGTTATCCTAAGGCCTCAGGGCAGCAGGCACTACAGAAGTGAAAGGCGAATTTTTAAAAATATTGTAGGTTCAGAAATAAATTCTTCCAGTGTCTAGTAACATCAAATGCTAAACCTATTCGAACACAAGGATAAGTTTCATAATTTTTCTAAAATCCGTGTTAAAATTCCAAAACTTCTTTGTAAGTGCATAATTCATTTCTTCAGTGATCTGTTTCAGTTAGTCAAGTTTTGCTATTTTGCTTTACATTTGCATTTAAAGCACTTTAGAAGTCTGGAAGAAAGGAAAAAACAGCATAAAGAAGGCCTCTATCTGAGTGACACTTTGCCTCGAAAGAAAACCACACCTTCCATCTCCCCACATTTCAGCAGTGCCACATTGGGGAGAAGCACCGCCCCAAAGGTAGGACTCGGGAGAGCCACAGACCTCACTTTCTGTGAGTCTTTTCCTTATGTTCCCCAACAAGCAACAGCCTTTCTGAAAAAACACTGAATTGTAAACCATTACATGTGTTTGTTTGGCACCCATCGTCATTAAATTGACTCTTCTAGCCTGTTCAGAGAATATTTGGAATTACATATTCTGGGGCCAAAGGTGTTTTGTAACACCGTGATAAAAGCTGGTGGGTGAGTGACCTTTACTAACCTGATAGACTGTCAAGGTTGCACTCGATATTTAGAAATAAATGGAATATAGATGCAGGGTTCCAGGAATAATAGAACCAAATATGTATGGGTCACTTCCACATGCCCGAAATGGGGATTAGCACTGTGTCTGAGTTTCCTCCTTTTAAAATCCAGCCATACTGTGCAGTAGAATTTCTTACCGATTACTGTCTTGATTGTACATATGGATAAGGTGAGGTGTAGTGGAGCCAAGTGACTGACTCGGGAGCCCTCAGCTGATACTAGGGGAGCTGGCATGCGAACCCCTGCTGTTGGACAGACTTTGGGCCCTTCTCCTGACTTTAGAGTAATTTCATTTTAATCTGTTACATAAATTGGTGTTTTAAGTATATTTTGTTGATTGTGTTGACATGAAAGATTTTTCCATTTAAAAAGAATGCTAAAAACCACTGGGGTATTAGTAAGTTTCCCCTTTTGCAGCCCACTGTGTGAGTGGGGTGAATGGAACAAGCGTAGATCCTCCCTGTCCTGCATGGGGTGCATGCATCTCTGTCCCTGCATCCGCCCTCTGCTCCTTGTGCATGAAGAACTTTCAGTCTTTCAGGTGATTGCAGACAGCATCTTCCCCAGCTCATCTGCCTTCGCTTTTGGAACTGCTATCATTGGAAGAAATTCTACGACGTTGAGACTGCCGTGGAGCCTTGTGGGCAGGACAGTGATTGGTCTTTACCCTTCCGCGGCAGCAAATGGGACACAGAGAACTACCTCATCTCTCTCTGCACTTAGACAGGAGCTTTGGAAACAGGGACGTGAGCATTGCCTGAAGGCCCATGTGGTGTATGGTGTGCCTGAAATGTTCTCTACTGGTTCTCACAGGGTCACTTGCCTCTGGGACAGAGCAACAGCTGTGGCAGTGTGCTTCCTCACTCGCTGGCAACCATGACCAAAGACTCGGAATCTCGGAGGGTGCTCAGAGGTGCGTACCTTATAAATCAAATGTCACCGTCTTTCATTAAGCAGTAGAATTCCTCAGGGAGCAGGAGTGAGAACAGATGTGGGAATGGCTAGAGTAGGGATCAATTAAAGTCCTAAATTTAGTCTTAGTACCTCCCCTGTGAGGAAGGATGTATGTATATCATGATTGTACCAAGGTGACTTTTCCTACTTACAGTAGAGATGATCCGTTTCAAATATACCCATGGTACTTTATAAATTCAATAGAACTCTGAAATCAGAAAGGTCCCCGGAGAGTGACTAACCTTTCTGATTGATTGGTAGAAGGTAAAAAGATATCACTGACATCCAGGGAGGTTACTGGGGCACTTAACCTCTATCCCTGTCCTGGTCTGTGGCTTAGCAAACCTTTTGCAGTAGAGTCATTGAGCCAACACAGTAAATAAAGCACTTGTGGCTCAGAACAGAATCTCGTTGGGCCTCTTACTGCAGCTTTAGATTATGCAGTTAGATTTTAGGTGGACTTTGTTCTCTGCATTTTCTTTGTAATAAAACAGATTGTATTTATAGTGGTGTTCCTAAATAGTCTCTGTGAGATGGAAGAAATTACTCCAGTGTAGTTTCGGAAGACTGCATCTCATTGGGATAGATTTATTTTGTCGGCACAGCGGTTTACATCTTCAGCCTGCATTGGCCCCGACTCTTGAACAAAGCGGTGCTAGATACCAAGAATCCAAATGGATAGAATTTTCCTTGCTCTTGAAATGCTTCTAGCCGAGTGAGAAAGAAGACACAAAACAGACTACTTCAATAAGATGTAGTAAATGCAGCGTTGGAGATATGCCCAGGTTGTAAATGGAAAAGCCAGTGGGGTGGCAGGCATTTGGGTTGCAAATACATCTGGACATTCATGAGGATAAAACCCTTTCTTCAGCAGGCTGGGTCAACAGCTCAGCCTCTCTGTTCTGTAGTGTTGGAAAGTAATCACTACTGTTGTCAAAAAACATGTGTCTATATAATACACACACATACCTGTACATGTAAAATTTATATACTTGTCTGTAAATGTTGCCAGTATATATTACACGTAACGTATCACAGGAATGATGCTTTCAGATCATTACTAGAAATGATTTAACAATGAAGAGAGGCTATAGTATTCTTGTGAGGGTTGTAATTTTTAAGAGAAGTTTACTCTGGTAATATTTAAATAAAATACATTGGATTGAATTTCTGGATTTTACTTTCTTTTATCAAAGTTTCTCAGTAAGCTAAAAATACCTCTATATTCATAAATAATAAAAATGACTCTATTTCAGCTTTCTATTAACTTATGGGTCAAGTCTATTTTTGGTTCAAACATTATATGTATATATTATATATATGTATATATTATTATTATATATGTATATATTATATATTATGTATGTAATATTAACAGATGTCTTCTTAAATGTATTTTTCCCACCAACTGAAGACATCAAAGCCTAGATTGGCCATGAATACAACCAAGATCTTCAGCATGTCCATGTGCTTTATGTATTGCAGTGATTTAGGGAAAAATGAAGCACTCAGGAAAGAGGGTGGGATCACAAATGATTACATTAAAAATATTTTTTAAATAGTAAGAAAAATTAGCTCCTTATCCTAAAAGTATAGATTGGTAAGAATCAAGAGCAGCAGTTATTACCGTCGTGTAAGAAGGTTCTTTTTCTTTTAACTTTTTCATTTTACAAAAAAACAGTATAGCAAAATAATAAGAAAATAACAATACTTAACACACTGTAGTTACAGCACATGACATAAATCAGAAAGATTCTTATTAAAAAAGAAACAAACAGATAATAACACAAAACTTTCTTTTCAGGAAACTAAAATAAACTAATAGTATAAGTGAAACAAATTAGAATGTATATTAAAATATTTTTGAGAGCCAGGCGTGTTGGCACATGCCTATAATCCCAGCACTTGGGAGGCTGAGGCAGGAGGATCACTGAGAGTTCGAGACCAGCCTGGGCTACATAGTGAGCTCTAGGTCAATATCAACTACATAGTGAGACCCTGTCTCAAAAAAAAAAAAAAAAATTTTTTTGAAACAATATGTAATTTGGGGAAGTACTTCAATTTCTCTCTATTTTCTATTTATCTCCCTTTTATTTTTCACTTGTATGCATAAATGTATATTTTGTGTTTTTCATATCAGAGATACCATGACGCAATTGAGCTTGCGTGTCAGACTGATTTCACTTAGCATCATGTTCTTGAGTTTCATCCATTTACCTACAAATGCCTCAAGTTTATCATTTTTATGGGAGTGTAGTATTCCATTGTGTATAAATGTCATATTTTCCTTATCCTCTCATCTGTTGATGGGTATATGTGCTCCAAGATCCACCTATTATAAATTATGCTGCTATAAACATGGGTGTCCGGACACCCCTGTAATATGATGACTCTAACTCTTTTGGGAAAATACACGGAAGGGGCCTAGCTAGTAGGAACATTCTCGTGAGAATGTGGTGAAATTGAAGGAAAGTCTTATCTCTTATTTTTCTAATGTCTACTTTCCCCTCAAGTAAAAATAATATTCATGCTTGTTTTCTAGAGGAAAGCAGATCCAATTCTCTTAGGTCACACTGTTTACATACACTCTGAAAAACCTGCTGTCTTTGATTTCTCTTCTTTTTGTGTTCCTGTTCTTTGCTGATGTGTCCTGTGGGCACCCGAAAAGACTTTGACGTCAGCCCTTGCTGCAGCTCTGCAACGTTAGCTGCTTAAAGAGTTTCATGGGATACAGACAGGACAACTTCTGGGGAAATAGCCATCCTGTGTGCGTTGCTTAGCTATGTCCTGGTAGGCCAGCCTGTTGCCTCTGACTCTCCACCCAGAGGCGAGGCAGAACAGTCAGGAATCATAGTTCTTAAAGCCATGGTAGACTTCAGACAAAGTGGCAGGATTTTCCACAGAGCCCATGCGGGTGGCCCACAAAGACCAGGAGGGCAGAATCGTATATTCATTTAGAATTGATTAATTAACACTTATTGTCCTCATTAAAATAGCAAATGCAATTAAAATTCCAAGGTGCCTAAAATCTAATTGATTTGTTATGTACACAATTAATATAAATACACTATTTTTTTTTTTGCTGCTATTCATAATGGATACATCCAGCATGATCCTGTAAGTAGTATAATAAACCTTCTTCCATCAGCACTCTTTTGATGCATCATAGAATCTTGAGATCCAACCAGAGAGCTGAGGAACTCAACTCCTGAAGTTGTAGCGGTCATTGACTTTTGTACATTTTGTCAGTTGTTCCTTTGTAAGCTTTAGAATGAATGAAATCTTTGTCCTGTTCTTTTTGTTGTTGTTGTTGTTGTTAAATGCAGGAAAGTCCAAGAAAGGTATGACAACCTCTTTGTGTGGTGGTTTTGTTTTCAACAAATACTGAAAGGTCATTGTCGAATCATCTTTAAGAAATGATCAGACTTTAAACTCTACAGTGGTGGCTTTTTAGTCTAGTGATTATTCTTTCATCATAATAGAGAAAATATCATTCATATTTGCAAGAAATACAATGCTAGGGACAGCTGCTGTTCAGTCATAGGCAGCTGCATGGCTTTCTTTGCTTTGGCTTTCTGTTTGAGGTCAAATCCTGCAGGAAACGTGAGAACTGGGGAAGCATTGATTTGTAAGGCTCAGGATCTATATAAACTGAAGACTGGGTATTATGATGTCTGTAGGCTAAGTATAAAATATGCTTTGCCTTTAAAAAAAAGCCAGGTATCAAAAATAAAGTAGGCTACATTGGGAAGATGGAAGGATTTAAGTGCCTCTCACTTATTCTTTCCCTTTAAGCCTATTTTGTAAGAACAACTTAGTGGAAAGCGAAGAAGAGTTTGAATGATTGGCTTGAATAAGTAAGACAGTCATTACTGAAGCGAGGCAGTAAGACAGGATGTCAGGAGGCTTGTTTGTTGGACTGCGCTTCAAGTAGTTAAATGGCATTCTTTGAACTTTAGCTCTTAAAAACCATGTACTATTGTCTCCTTCGCAAAAAAGGATTGTTTTATATGTATTATATTGTTTATGTTTTCCCATTTTCTGGTTGATGAATATGTGAAAAAACAATTTCCCTTGTAACAAATATTTTCTGACTAACCATGCATGTATCATAAGGTTGTTTTCCTTTTGTAACTTCTTGAGTTTGTCTCTGTAAATTTAGATTTAATCTAAAACTATGGACATTATTCTGTATTAATCCGGCACTGTCACTAACACTATAAAGGCTGCATGTTGAAAGTGTTACACAACTCTCCCGTTCCTTTGTCATCCTATTTGATCTCATATCTTTTTCCCTCTCTCCATCATTCTCTATTTTCACGCCTGACTTGTCCTGTACCTTCTTCTTCGGACTGTGGACTATCATTAGGAAGAGTGAATTCCTCATCAGGTGAGCTACCATAGGAAACCTGGTTAGCTTTACTCTCTTAAGCCCAGGTTATAATTTCAAACTATGTCACTTTCTTTTTTTTGGTTTTGTGAGACAGCATCTCACTATGTAGCTGAAACTGACCTGAACTCACTATGTATCCCAGGCTGGTCTCGAACTCACAGTGATCCTCCTGCCTCAGCCTCCCGAGTGCTAGGATTATAGGCATGCACCACCACGCCCGGCTTCACTTTCTTTATTAAAGTCCAAATAACCATATAAAAGTGTATAACATTCATATGTAAAACACTGACAAGACTATGTATGTTCCACAATGGTTAACTCACAAAGGGCTTTTGGGGTCCAAGTAGCCAGAATACACAATGAATGTCCCTTGTGCATGCAATCCATAGGCTTTCAACAAGTGTCAGCAGAGTTGGTTTTGTTTCCTTATGTATACTATGAGATGATCCTCAGATATTACAGGCCTCTTTTGATAAACCTTCTAAACCTTTCAAATAGCTATGCCTGCCAGGGTAGGAAGGATTTAGTGTATTTTCAAGTCCCTTTTTACTTTTTAGTTTCTTTCCCTTTGCTGAACATTATTCTTGCTATATAATTAAAACACAAAACCAAAAACCAAGTATACTTGGGTTAAGCAAACCTCATTTTTCCCAGTTCAGTTCTTCTGCCCCATCCCAAAGAGTAAGATGCATTCCATTTCCTTATTTGGCCATTAATATTGGTGGAGTTTACAGATGAAAACTGAATTCATTTAATGACACTTTCATGACACCCACATGCTAAATACATGGTGACACTGGGCTGAGCAGGACATCTGAGTCCCCTTCCGTGATGACAGCTGAGGCCAGTCTGTGGCTGCTCTGCCTCTCTGTGCACCCACGGTTCTTCCTGGGCTCTGCCTGTCACACTCTTTCAGTCCACTGCACATCTATGGTGTTTTTTCTACTGAAAATGCCAGTGTCTTTGGATGGCCAGGCCAGAGCCTGCATCCCTAACCAGCTCTTTAGGCACACTTGTGCAATGCCAGGGTCACAGGAGAGAGGCCCGTGCCCTTACTGAGAATGGCAGGGTAACTCGTGTTTTTAAAAATTTGTTCAGTAGGGAGAAGGCTGAGCCTGGTGACATTTGGACCCATTATGATCATGCAAGTGTTGCCATTTGGCAGAAATTTGTAGCTCTGTAAGGAGTATTCCTGCTCTCACTGGATCTGCAGGAAATAAAGTCCTGCACCCAGACGTGGTGGTGTACTCCTATAATCTCAGCACTATGGGAGGTTGGGAGGAGGATGACAAGTTTGAGCCCAGTCCAAGCAACTTTGCAACTTAGTGAGACTCTGTCTTTAAAACAGAAAGAGCTGGAGATATAGCTTAGTGCAAAGGCCCTGGGTTTAGTCTCCAGTAACACACACACATGAGTCCTGCGTTGGGAAAGAGCCTCCTTAGCCATAGTCTTTGTACTGTAGGGTGTTTATCCACCACTGGAGTGGCTGGAGGTTCAGATACAGTCAAACCTCAACAAATAGTGAGCTGGTCTGGGAGATTCACGTTGACAGTCCTTGCACGGTGCCTGGTATAACATGGGTGTCCCCTGTGTACCCATCTGAAAATGTTGAATCATTAATTTACCACCTCTCTTACCTGGAGGTTATAAATTTATTTTTATATTCTGCGATTCTTTAGAAAGCAAAAAACCCAACCAAACAAAGCCATAACCCAGGAAAATCAGAGGGGCAAGGCTACAGCTTTGTGGGGAACAGTGCACGCACATCTTTCTGCTTCCGGGGAGGTGTTCATTGTCCATAGGGACGGGCTTTTCCTCAGTGGAGGTCATGGCACCGTCATTACCAGGAACATCAGTCTTGTGTGTCCATAATTACACAGCTATCTTCTAGGCATTTTCATGTGAGAACAAGGAAATGTCTTCCATGTAAGGCAGTGCCAGTGTGCAAGCTTTGTATGCCACACCTTTTTTGAAATACTTGTGTAACTTTTCAAGTCATTTCTGATTTTTATGATCCTCCTTTCAAAATAAATATTTGGAAACAATGTAAAAGATGCACTTAGTAATTCTAAAAGTTCAAGTATAAAAGGTAAATATTTGAATAAGGAATTGTTTTTGCCTTTCTTTTTAAAGAAGCACAAGTTCCACACTTAGGAATGCACTGGCCTCACTTAATACTTTATGCATTAATCATCACTATTAACCATATCCTATCTAGTCTCATGTGATTTTATGTTTTGCATTTTGCCTTAGCTAAGTGATATGTGCTGTACAATTTTCATATACATAGTGGCAAATGATCTGAAGGAAACTTATTTTCTCAGAAATTTGTTACTTTAATACACCTCATTTAGATCACTAAAACTGCTGTAAATTCTAATGGCATGAATACTGCCTGAAGCTAAAATCACTTTACAGACACATTGGGTAGATAGTGTACTGTTAAAGCATTGCAGTTGTGGCTTCTGTTTCTAAATGGAAATGATTAATCAACAGCCAAGAAGAGTTACTTCCCTTCTCCAGCCCTCTTGCCTACTTTTTGGCCATTTTATGACTAAATAAAGGCCTCGTTGAAAGACGGAACAAAAGAGGTAGAATTCAAATGGTCTAATTGCAAACTCTTGATAGCTCTGGTATAACTCCCTGGGTAGTGGAGGCTATTAGGGAGACATTTACCAGGGAGAAAGAAATTACAAACTGTGGACACATTTTTAAATGAATGTAGGTATTTCCTAACTAGTGTAATCCCTGATTACTGAGAATATGATAGAGAACTGAAAAGATGATTTGATTTGTAATGTCTGAAATCAGCATTCAGAGACCAAGCCATACCAATAACCTAATGTGCCAGCCATAAAGACAGTAATTTAATGTGCCAGCATCTAAGTACCTGGGGAAAAAAGTCTTGCTTGTGGTGTGTTTGCTATTACAGATGCCTACATTTTCCAGTAGTTATCACTAAACAATCATTGTTAAGGGGGTAAAAGAGAATTAGATAGACAGTAATTAGGAAGAATCCAATCACTGAAAGGATTATCGACCCTAAATGTTTTAAATAAGTAATTGACGGGTGAGGAGAGAAACAGAGAGACAAACACAGAGACAGAGTGAAGAAGGGAGGGAGAGAGGGATGAGGAATGTGCAATTTGGATCTTAAACATACTAAAAACCTAGGAGGTGGTATCCAGGTTTCTCAAAGCCTCCACCTGCTGTTTTATGACTGAATTGAGTACTCCTGGAACGTGAATAGCACTGGCTGCCTAATAAGCCCGGCATTGCTCATCGCTGGGCTTCATCTTGTCTTCACTTGAACACAGCTACTTCATATTTCTGGGAGTTTTTTTGGTTTTTTTTTTTTTTCCTTCTCGTGTGTTGAATGTGTGCCAGTGTATCATTCGCCATTGTACTGAGTTATAGGACTGAGATAGGAAAGAGCCAAGTGATCACACTGACAGAATCACCTGCAAGACTATTTCTTTGAAACTCTTGCTTACACTGAGTGTGGGACTGTGTCTTTGAGTTTCTTGGCTTCGAACCAGATGGGACTGGGGTTCATATTTTGTGTGTAAATGCTTCTGGTTGTTGGGTTAAGCCTGTAGACATACAAGATTCTAAGACTGATAAATGAGGTGTATTTGTGATTCTTTCCTTAGGTTATAATCACCCACAGATGAGTGAAGGACAAAGACAGAAATCTGAATTTTACAACCGCACAGCGTCAGAATCAAACGTCTATTTGAATAGTTTCCATTACCCTGATCGTAGCTACAAGGACCAGGCCTTTGATACTTTGAGCCTGGACAGCTCTGACAGCATGGAAACCAGCATCTCTGCCTGCTCACCCGACAATATCTCTAGGTAAGGTCTGTTTGTGGACAAGATTTCTTGTTTGGAAAAGCACAGGCGTCAGGCTGGGTACAGTGCACATCAGTACCCCCAACTCTTCAGAAGGGTAAGGCAGGAGGATTGTGAATTCAAGGCCAGCCTGCACAGCACAGTAAGATGCTGCCTCAAAAAACAAAAACATAAAGTCCACCAGCATGTGGCATTATATATGTACAAATTCAAATTTTTGAAATTTGTTTTCCCATATTTTTTATTTTATGAAAAAAATAAAATTTCATGACAAAATACTGACAATAACAATAGTTAATATTGTTATCTTGAAAGTAGTTACTCAGAGAACAAGATGTCAAACCAAAAAGATTCTTACAAAGAAGAAACAGATCATAGCACAAAACTTTCTTTTCAACTACCATAAATGAGACATAGTGGCATATATATGAAAATAATTTTGAAACATAAAATACAGAGAGAGTGCAGAAGAGAGTTCCATATCATGGCAACCTTTTAGAAGTCGTTTCCTTGTATCATGTATGACCGAGCCAGACACTCTTGCAGACCATTCTCCCACTTGGTCCCATTGCTTTATAGTGAAGTTCACACACACACACCATGCTTCCCAGTCAAGTTACCTCTGCTGTGGACTCGAAACTTCATCTGTACTGCTTTTGATGAAATAATCCCCAATAACGGAGTCAGAACTTTAAAGGTTTTTTTGCCCTTCTGTTTTGTTGGGAGGAAAGGCTTAGCTAGTCTGTAATTTCGTAAGGATTTACCAATTCACATTTGTAATCGTACTTTGAAGCAAGCAGAAGTGGTGTTTGGGAATTAGGGCACCTCGAAAGTGTCAGCTTCTGAGTGATTTTTCCCTCTTCTGAAGCTTGATCCTCTGCTGCCTGCACAGCAGCCACCCAGAGGGTGATGTTTTGAATCCAGCCCTGCCCTCCCTTCTTCTCTCCTCACAGAACTTCTTGTTGAAGGAGAGTGTGAGGAACTCTCAGATTTCTGTGCCTCTGACCCTGCCGGTCCTTAACGTTTTCTCCAAGTATGAGCACAGAGTTGGGGTTAGGAAGTTAATGAAGGCAGCCGTAATAATGGGTGTTCAGAATACTCGTCTGTGAGATATCTCGATGGTTTTAGCAGAATGGAGATTTGGTGTAGAATTTACTCTCAACTGCCTGTTTTCCAAGGCCCAAGACCTATTTTCTGAGCTTCATGTTTGCTTAGAGTATAAATAATGATACCCAAAAAGTAAAAAGGTCTGGCTCCAGTAACTTCCTGGTAGTCAGAAAAATGATGTCTCAACATAAAGCGAAGGGCAGATGTACCCACAACCAAGTAATTCTATCATTCTTCCAATGGCTTTTTATGACATCATAAGCCACAAGACCCACTTTATGTCACTAAAATTTCAGCATGGAGTTACCTCTTTAATAGACTTATAATTTTGGTATATTTTAATATATAATTTTAAGAAATCTTGAGCACAGCAATTTTTTTGTCCATTATTCTTCTTTATACCAATATTCAAGAAGTTTCCAGCTCAGGATACTCTGTCATCCTCTACATTCTAAACTATAGTTTCCTGTTTCTTGCTTTCCTAGTGTTTGTCATGTTATTTTCCACAACAGTGTATACAAGCATCTGATTATTTTAAGGTAAATGGGGACACAGAAGACAAACACCTATTTTTTTCTCTCTCTCTCCCTTTTACGTTTGACTTTTTTGTAGGGATCTTCTGTTTTGTCTTCAGATTTTTGACATTTAGAAGATCTGATAGCACAAGGAAATAAACACAGTAATTTCCGCCCATAATGTGGAGTGACTGTGGGCAGTTATCATGGTCATGCACAACTACTTGTCAGGAACGGTCATTCTGCAACAATTCTATTGAAAAAATTAAGTTGCCTCACCGCACACAGATGTACACACACACAAGTGGTAACTATGTGGAGTGATGAAATTGTCAGTTTGATTGCATGATCAGTTCGCATTGTATACAGATAGCACAATGTCATGTTGTACACTAAATAAATACAGTTGTCAGTTACATGAGTACTCAGTAAAGCTGAGACATAAAAGAAATGATAATGTATGTACAAATTCCCCTCAGTGAAAGTAATGGTTAGGTACTTCAAACAGGTATTAATAAACAAAAATTTTAAACATTATGTTGTATATGATGTGTACAAATTTGTTATTGTCATTTAAAAATAAGGCATGTTCCAGATCCCCCAAAATTGATATCTAAATAAATGTAGACTGCATGAAAATGAGGCAAATGAATGTAGGTTATTGGAAAATTTGTTTGTTTTTTTGTAAATTGGTGGTTTTTGAGACTTAAAACTCAGTGAAACTCAAGATTATCTTCAAATGGATTGGAGATATAAGATACATTTTATGTCTCCAATACAGAATGTTAATACATTTTGTCCTATTATTGGCCGAAGCAAATGTCTTCAGCTTGTTCAGTTAAGCCCGTAAAGTTTGTCCCTTTTCCATCTATGACGTCAAGTATCGCCAATGAAGGGAAAAAAGTATTCATGCACAAAAATTGAAGATTTTTTTTCTTGAACTCTTTTGAGCTGAAAAGGGCAGAACTCATACTTTTCTATCTCCCCTAATAACTAATGGAGATAATAGGAAATCACCATGTGCAGGGGTTGCCCTGAAAGCCCATCCCCTGTGTCTGGCATGAGGGTCTGGTACCCCTGAGGCAGCTCCTGTTTCTGTACCTCTGCTTTATCACAGGCCCAGCAGTACTAACTTATACCACCTGTCCTGGGGTCATTTATCTCTGCCAAAGAACTCAGCCCTGGACTCGAGCCCCCCTAAGTTTGATTTAATCAAAACTATAATTGAGAGATATTATATTAGCAATCACCAATAACCAAGAAGGCCCTGATTATTTCTTTGGATATACATTTTTATAAATTAATTTTCATATGAATGTGGGTCCAAATCATTTCACTAAAGGAAAGGCCTTCCACAACTGTCGTTTTTAGACTTGATGCATTTGGAAATCCTGCCTTTTAAGATTTGGCTTCGATGTATTGATTTATGAGTAAAGCAGTTTACTTTAGCATTATTTTGCTTGCATATTTTTATCTGGAGGTAAGTCGGTGTCACCACAACTTTCAGAGTTGAATTGATTCGCCCCTTCAGACCAATGACTATAAGAAACATCCTTTAAATGCCGCATACTTGGATTTTGTCATGTACCTCTCTTGACATGTGTATGTGTGTGTGTGTGTGTGTGTGTGTGTGTGTGTGTGCGTGCGCGCGCGCGCGCGCGCGCGTTTGTGTTTCTGAGTCAAAATTCTTCAAAGGCTCTTGTGTTTGATGCAGCGCCAGCACTTCCAATATTGCCAGGATAGAAGAAATGGAGAGGCTGCTGAAACAGGCTCATGCTGAAAAGAACCGACTGCTTGAATCCAGGGTAAGCTCAGGGTCTTCCTGCCAGAGGTCTGTGATGTGGTGAGTGGTGAGGTGAACCCCAGCTCTCACAAATGTTGTGATCTTGAAGTAGTCACACTACCTTGCTCAGCCTGCTTTCTCATCTGAAAAGTAAAGCTATTAGAGAGGTGATTTCAAGGCTTTTTACTGCAGTACAATTTCCCATAACTTGAAAGAATATAAACTCAGTGTACACACACACACACACACACACCCAGTGCTGACACAGACTTAAATGGATTTTTTTATATTGTGCTTTCCCTTCGGTGGCCCCGTGGTGTTTTTGCCAAGGAAGTGGGATAAAGTACCTTTCTGCCTTTCCATCCTTCCCAGCCCATTAGCTGCGCTATTGTGATGGTGAAAATTCCACATTATTGTGACTGTATTTCAAGCTGTAGTCTGAACTTCCTTAGGAATCCCCCAAATGCCTTTGCATCCTGTCCTGAGGGAGCCTCCTTTCCTTCTCTAGCTTCCCTGTGTGCTTCCTCTGCGACCTTCAGCCAGGCAGCTTGCAGGCAATAACAGGAATCGGAAGGACTGATGGCCTTCAGTTAGAAGACGGCAGCCCAACAAAAGGCTAAAAACCTTGTGACTAGTGTTGAGTGACAGTTTGTGAGGCTTTTATTAAAATGGGAGAATTGTGGTCACTGGACTGAGTGTAGTTACAAACTGGATTTTTCCCTTAAGACCAAAGTCTGTGTGCGCGTTCGCGCGTGCTTGGGGGAGGGGGAGGGGGGGTGGGATCAAATCCAAGGCCGTGTGCGTGCGAGGCAAGAGCTTTACCACTGAGCTGCCTCCCAGCCCAACCAATATTTAATTGTTAATTATTGTTAATTAAATTGAAAGAGTGCATATCTGCATTTAATGAGTTTGGAAGCTATGCCAGCGATGACTATGGGTTGTATTATTGTAGGGTATATATTTTAAGAGACTAAAATGCAAACCAAAAATTGGTGAGAATTTTATTTTTGGTAATAGTTGGAACCATTGAAGTATGACCAGTATGTCTTAATCATTGTTCTGCGTCATGATATTTAGGAACGAGAAATGGAAGCCAAAAGACGAGCTCTGGAAGAAGAAAAGCGTCGCCGAGAAGTTTTGGAAAAACGATTGCAAGAAGAAACTAGCCAGAGGCAGAAGTTAATAGAAAAGGAAGTAAAAATAAGGGAGAAACAAAGAGCACAGGTTGGTCCGTCAATCTAAATGCACGCATATAGGTTGCCCCCTCGTGGTCGCTCTGTAGAAGACAGTCTGAGGTTGCCTTCCTTGGCATTGTCGTTAGTGCTTAGTGGAATGGATGGGTTAAGAGAAAACTATGTTTACGTGCAAAGCATGTACTTTATTTCCCAATTTTGAGGGAACTTCCAACCAGATAACATTCCTCTACATTAATGGAACATCCTGGGGGTAGAGGCATATTTTCTTCTACCGGGTTTTTGAAGTACATTTAAAAGGAGAATGGTTTTTGAACAGCTTTGAAAAATACCACTGGATTGGCTGCCGAAAACAGATACAAGGTCTCAAGAAAAACCTTTAGTGAAGGAAATGAAAGATGCTATTAAGCCATCTTTTAGGAATAAACATGTCAAAACAGGATAATGCTTCTAGCACAGTTTCTTGGTGGTGGCGATGTTAATTTTCCTTTCTTTTCCTGGCCACTACATTGTCACGTGTGTCCCCTTTGCTACAGTCCATACATATGTGCATTAGATTACTGAACTCGGGCAAAATTCAAGAGAGCCACCCATTTTGTTTAACTGCTTACCTTGCTTATTATATCTGTCTAGTCTTGATTCTTGACACTATAGCTGCTTATATAATGCTTGTTCTCTGGAGCTAAAGTTAAATTTTGCTAAGTACTGCATAATTTAAAGTTCAAATCAACTATCAAAATTGGTCACTTATCTAGTAGATTTCAAAGCCAAAAGATGTGATGTCCCTTATTCTCTTTAGTTACTGATGGCACAGTGCTTAGAGACAGTCTTCACAGCTTTGTGGGTTTTGAGGTATCAGTAAGCCTGGGACAGTCAAGTACCACAGAATCAAAGGTAAATTGTTGATAAATAGAAAGAAAACTTTTCCATTTTTTTTTCACCATGCCTAACTTTTGCAAATTCTGATTCACAGTTATAAGATCACCCATACATATTTAATATCCAAAGCCAAACCAAAAAGCACAAGTCTGTTTTAATCCTTATTATAAGTTTTACCTCCAGTATATGATAAGGTCATTTTCCCCAGGCAAAGGGTTGGGGTTATTTAACATAAAATAAAACATTATTTTAGAAATACCTCCTAAGGTGATTTGCTTTCTTGATCACATGAACCTTGGCCTTAACCATTAGTAAACTAAAAGACATCTCAGTATAATACTCTGGCTTCTTGTCCTTCTTGTCTTGTCTTGTCATTATATTAGATCCACCTTCAATTCCATGTCTAATTTTATTTTAGCTACATTTTTCAAAACATACATCCTTGCCTTCAATTCCTACTAGAGTATATGTAAGCTAATGGCTGCAACTTTACGGATGTTTTGGGGGTTTGTGCTTGCTAAAACAGTGCTGGTCTCTCATGCCGTGTCCAGGATCACTTAGGGAGAACTGTTATGTTGTAGCAGGGTAAGTGCCTGAAAACCTTCTGGTGGAGGAATCCTGATCTGAAGGGAATTGTCCAGAAAAATTCCTCCCTCAGTTCTCTCTCTGTGTTAGTGCTAATTATCTCCTTTAAGTTAAATAAATGATGTGTTTCCACACACTCATTTTCCCATCTCATGGAATAGAATCTCTTGTCCTGAGTTCATCTATTCCCCTCCACACATTGTAGCATCCCACTCAAAATACCACCTAGTTTTTAGGCTCTAGTTGCTGTTTTGTTTGTTGTAAGCACTCACAAATACATGGGTATTTTAAAACTTAGACTTTATATTTAGTTCCAGTTTCTAACAATCTATAACCTAAAATGAAACAAACAATTAATGTGCTTGGAACGGGCTTTGTGCTTTTTCAGGCTCGCCCTTTGACGCGCTATTTGCCTGTCCGGAAGGAGGACTTTGATTTGCGGAGCCATGTAGAGACCGCCGGCCACAATATTGATACCTGTTATCACGTATCAATCACAGAGAAGACTTGCCGAGGTTTCCTCATCAAAATGGGTGGAAAAATTAAAACTTGGAAAAAACGCTGGTTTGTTTTTGATCGCAATAAACGCACATTTTCTTATTATGCAGGTGGGTGATTAAAAACAAAAAAAACATGGCATATTCAGATCTGTTACAGAGTGTAAGGTCAGACCAAGGCACGATTGGGACCACTGAGATGGGCAAAGTTCAAGCAACATGTGATGAGTTTATTGCCATCTAGGTGCAGGTGGGCCAAGGGTGAAAAGGCTGTTGGCGATTACAGGAGGATGTGCATGGTTGATATGAGGGAGCTTAGGTAGGATAGGGGGCACTGGTCTACAGGGTGGAAATTTTTATTAGATACCCAAGGATGATAGGCCTGGGGCTGGCTGATAAATAGGGTGGTGGTAGGAGCAGCAGGGCAGCTGCTGGCTCTCTGCTATCTCTACCCTCCTGTGGATTTGAGTGGGGGGGGGTCTGTTTGGGCAGGGGTGGAGGGTTTAATGTGGGGGCCTATAATGGAGCTAAGGCAGTTGAGATGAAGTATAAATAGATGGTAAGTAGTTTCAGTAATATTAGCTTTGTAGATGTATATTATTTTATACTCATTATGTGTATTATTTTGTATTCATATTATGTGGTTCAATATGATATGAATTTTCTTTTTACAACTAATAAAATGTTGCTTTAAAAAGTATGAACTAGTTTATTCTGGTTCTGAAGGAAACATTAGTTTTCAATTTCTCAAAGTAAGTTTATTGGTACATTTTAGGTATGCAATATGATGACGTTCATCATTTGGAATTTGTACCTTTATATTTCCCTTTAAACCGCAAGGCCAGAAAAAAGGTTTATTTGTTATTTATTTATTTTTTATTTATTTATACATCCTATTTAAGTCACACATAGTAAAGTCACCCTAGCTGACAGTCATTCAACAATAGAGAGTCTGCCAAAAACATGTATGCACGTTTAGGAAAAGAAAAACTTGTGTAAATATTTTAATAGTAAATTTACTGAGACATCATGAGATTAAGACAAGTTACTCTTGGCCTCTAAAATTAAAAGAGGTGCCCAAAGAGGTGGCCATTAGCTTCTATATATTTATTAGTACAGGAAACTGCTGCTTGAGGAACCTTGGTCATTGAGATTGCTGCTCATGCATTTTCAATGATTTCACTACAAGCCAGCAGTGTAGTTCTGCAATATGATATCCTCTAGGGTCCCCCATACATGGGGAACACCATCTGTTGAAAAAAATATATACTATTTTTCTTTTCCTGAAGTGTATATACATGTTTTTGTGGACTCTGTAGTTTACAAATTAGTATAATCTTTTAAGTGTAGAGTAAAGCTAATCAGTAACTAGTCAACAAGTATTTATGAAGTACCTGAAATATTTTTGGATTCTTAAATGCTGAATTATAAGAAACACATCCTACTGAATCACATAAAAATACAAAAATATTAGTGTAACTGGCATAGCAATTAAAAAGCCCCTTGCTTACTTTGGGATTATATAAAGCCTAGATCTGTGATCAGCATGGGTCTTCTAATTAGGATAGCACAGTTATAGCATAGCACGGTTATGCTTTGGGGTTAGTGTTTCAGCATTTCTGAGTGTCATGATAAACTGAACCAACGTAACAAATACAACATGAGTCCAGTCACCTAACCTATCCAGTGAGGTCAGTTAATATTTATGTCCAGGTACAAGATCCCAATGATGAATGTAACTGTACTGTATACCTAAAATGTACCAATAAACTCAATGAGGAAAAAAAATTAATATTTATGTGGAGGGAGATGAGAAACCCAGATGACTATGGAGTGAGGGCACACGTCAGGGAGCCCCAGAATCAGAGTGGAAACAGGCAGGGGACACAGCTTTTCTGTAGGAGACTCACTAGGTAACAAGAAGATGGACTGTTTGTCACAGACCCTGGCTCCGCCTCTAGGCCTTTCTGATTTGGGGTTTTACAGAAATCCAGAGCAGCTCTCTTTAGTTAGTACAACGGGAAAGCTGCCTCATTAGTAAGAAATGCAATCTAGTGTCTGCTAGATGCATTTCAAAGTGGCTTCTCTCCTCCATGCTACTCTTTATGAGCCTTTTTTTTTTTTTTTTTTTTTTTTTGCCATCAGCTATCTATCACCTTGACCAGCTTTTCTAAACATATGTCCTTCTGAGCCATGTAAATCCGTTTTTCACATCAAAAAGTTTGGTAACTTGTGTTCAGTTTGTATAAGTACCAGAAACCTTTTTGTTATAGGAAAGATTACACAGACATAAAGCAGATGGATTTATAGTTCATCAACTTTTTATGTGACATAACTGAGCAAAGAGACCTAGTTAGACACATGCTGCCCATTTGGCTCTGTTTATAACCAGTCCTCATCAGCTTAGCTGCCCCCTCCCCCGCTCTGTCCCTTTCCCAAACATCAGCAGCACCTGCATGGATCAGGCCCCTGCCAGTCATCTAGACTGCAGCTTGGGACGGACTTGATCGTGTGGAAAGCACATCAGCTTCTCACAAGTTAAACAGCTTTGTGTGTGTAAAGGAGCTGCCAAGCGGACTGCTGAAAGATAAAGGCCTGGGCCTCTGTTTTTCATGGCCCTGGACTCTGTCTTTGGCCTCCTGTATATTAACCCGGAACTGTAGGACAATCTCTAAACAGAGTTGAGGCACAGGAAACGTGTCTGAAAATTAAGGGGTAGTGCTGTCTGGAGACACAGTGGATGACGGCATTATCTCATCAGCGAGCAGCCTGATGGATCCTCCTCACTCACAGTGTGGTTGTGGGGCCCACATTCTTCAGTGTGTGTTCTCACAAACGACACACCCTAAAAACGTTTCATTCCCTAGTTTTCTGTCTGCCCAAAACATTGTCGAGACTTCCAGATTTGATTTCATATCTGTTTTGAAGGAAGGTAATAGTGTACTCCCATTGACTGTTGCAGGATCCTCTCCAGAAAATGTGTGAGACACACACAGACCTTCTCTTTTATTAAAACTGGTTGAAACCCACTGAACATGCTATTAAGTAAAACAATATTTCCCAAGGAAGAGCAAAAACAAACACAAAAATGGTCCTTAGTCAAATAACGTAGAGAAATGTTCGATTAAATGCAGTTAAAACATATTTTCTGTGGAACTTCTCTGGGCCATTATTTTCAGACTTAAAGCTTTGTTCATAAAAGGGGAAAGGTCAAGCATGCTGGACAAGTGTGATAGGGAAGAAATATAAGTAGAATATTATAAATTAAATTTATGATATTTAAAACACACTTTAAAATTTCACTACAACTGTTATGCATATTAATATTTCTGTTGCAAAAAGAGTTTTGAAGAAGGGGAGCACATGTTGTATGAGTGCCAGTGATGTTTCTACTTTGTGTGCTAGCATGACAGTCCGTAGTTCTGGGTTGGCTTTTGACTGCTGACTTGCTGAAGAGCCTATACTTTGAGCAGGAGAATGTCATAGTTTTCTATTGTTTGTATTTGTTTAAATATAGAACAGGGCTAATGCACTACCCTGAGTTATCTGAATTAATCTTAGATCATTTCAGTGCTAGATAAATATTTCAGTGATGATAATTTTCATGAAATTATAATTTTCCTGTCCCTCTGATAGAGTAACGTTTATCTATCTTTGCAGATAAACATGAAGCAAAATTAAAAGGAGTAATATACTTTCAAGCCATTGAAGAAGTATATTATGATCACCTCAAGAATGCTAATAAGGTAAACACCAGTTTGCTAAATTCCTACAATTTGAGTGCATAATTAAGGTAGGAAAAAGGTATTTTTGAATTTTAAGGAATTTAGATTTGCCATTCTTGAATAATAGATATGATCAGAATGGTGCTGGAAAGTTAACACTGAAATAGTTCCAGACACATTCACTGAAGGCCAGAACTGTAAAGAGAGAAACTACTATACCTTTGTGCTTCCCCTGAGGATAAAAGGCAGTGATTGATATTCTAAATAGGCTTCAGTCACCTGGGTGGGAAGCCAAGGTCTTAACCCAGCCTCTCCAGGAAATATCCCTGACCCTCATCCTTACTGAAAATCCTTGTACGCTTGTTATATGACTTGCTCCCCCACTTGATTCCCATTTAATCAGTATTCCTGGGTGACTGCACTTGTAATCTTATTGGTTGGTCATGGTTTTGCCCCACCTTACGCCACCCACCTTGTAATTTTCCTTTGGGTCTTACAGTTTTGTCCCATTTTGTACACGCCTCACCACATGACTTTGCTGTGTAAAACATCTTGGAGAAGTAGGGTGAGCGGGAAACCCACTTTCCAGTCCCCCTTCTGTCTCTCTTAGACAGAAGCTTTCTTTCCCTCAATAAATTTTTCCTACCAAAAAAAAAAAAGAAAAAAGAAAAGAAATAGTTAAGGGCGCTGACTGTTTCAGGGGGAAAAGCCATGATGCAGTGGGAATATTCTGGACACACTGGTTTGGGAGACCTTGCAGAGTGACTGCAGCATTGTGGATGGGAGCTACTATATAGTTACGAGGGAATCACAATTTAGTAGGATCTTAACAGGGCTAACAGTAACTGCTTTTAAGCACCCCTTATCAGCTAGGTAACAAACTTCAAAAATGAGCCATTAAGAATTATTGAGCTCTGCTGAGGTTTCTTGTGTCAGAAAGGCTGGAAATATGGTCATTCCTAAGAAAGGTATGGGGCAAGGTGGGTACCACTGAGCAAATGTAACGCCTACAAAATTTCTATCAGTGAAAACGTTTAAAGAAACCTTCACATATGTCTATGTTGTTTCATATTCTAATTTTAAGATATTTTTCTTCTCCTGATTTGAATTTCAGAGCCCTAATCCGTTACTCACTTTTAGTGTCAAGACACATGACAGAATCTATTACATGGTGGCCCCCTCACCGGAAGCCATGCGTATCTGGATGGATGTTATAGTCACCGGGGCAGAGGGTTACACCCACTTCTTGTTGTAGTGAGTGGAAGCGACAGTCCACTCCAGGGCAGACTGCAATAACCTCTTACAAGAATGAAGCCATATTCAATCCCAGACGCAAAGACCCAACAGATCAACCTCCTAACTGTATGCACTCAGAACTCCTTTCCTACTAAGAAGTTGTTTGTAAAGACAAACCAAAAAGGAAAGAAAATAGGAGTTTTAATTCAAAGCTGGATCATAAATGTCAAAAGAAGTGAAGCTCTACAAGAAACACTATTTTGATAAATATCACTAAAAGAACATTTCGTATAAACTTCTATCAGTTGTTTTTTGATGAAATAAACTAAACAGTTTACACAATGTCTGTATATGTGTACTTGCAACTATAGAATTACTGTAGCACCCAAATTGTTGCCATTTGGCTTTTTTTTTTTTTTTTTTTGGAGATACCATTTAACAAATACAGGCAAATAAAGACTTGGAGGGGAATATATTTTAGAAATTTTGCCATACTTTTTAAGTATTCCACCAAAACCAAAGACTTGACATGACTTCTGTTTAACGGTAGTAGTTGAAAGTAGTAGTGTTCCTTTATATTTTAAAACAGTATTTTGATGCCACCAGGTGCCCAGGAAATTAACTTTGCAGTGTTGTCACCATGATAAGCTACTGTACATATATAGTAAAACATTTTTTGTAAAAGAAGAAAAAAAATCGCTTCTCGGCCTTTTGGCTAAGATCAAGTGTAGTAAAAGAAGAAAAAAGAATCGGTATTTTAGAAAAATGCCATCTCAGCCAAAAGACATTTTGTCACATTGGGCAATTTTAAATAAAGAAAATGTTTGACGTTAGGAGCTTTTTCATGCAACATTTCTCCATTCTAAGTGCTGAAAATGAAGGCAAGCAATAGCTGATTTCCTTTAGATTGTCTCATTTCTCTTTGTCATGGAGTGTACCGATCTATCAGTTATGCCTCACATGACATAGCTATGAAATCATAGTTGTTTTCACCAGAGAACACAATTAAAATACCCGATTTGTGGAAGTGATATAAAAGCAAAATTCAACTTAACATTCTCTATAATATTTTATTATGTATTTCCTTATGATTAGACTTTAGTTTTTAGAGTTAAATTAATTTTTGTGAATGAAATGACTTCAGGCAAGTCTCTTTTTATAATGGACTTTCAAATCTCACAGTTTTTTATGTTTTGTATGTTTGTAAGTATGAATGTACTCTTTCCTAAAACATGGTAAATGACTAGAAGTACAAAATAATGATGTTACCTACAAGGTTAAGTGATTAGAAGTGTCTTTAAAATTTTCTTAGGCCTGACCAGGTACAGTTCCTTTTAGGTTTGCAATATACTTTGTATACATGTATACATGTTGCCAATAAGATTTGCAACTGGATGACACAGTATCTTACTTGAACAATGAAGAACAAAAATTGTGATTGTAAAAGATCTTTTTAAAAATGAGGTTTTGCAGAGATCACCCTAAATTCTTCAACGATCTAAGAGAATGAAATGCAATAGCTAAAATTTTGTTGATTAAAGATTTTTCTGTACTGTATTTTCTCCGTAGGATTATGAGTCTCCTAATCAACTTGCATGTTGTAAACCTTTTAAATATGTATGTTAAATATATTGACTTTGGATTAAAATGTTGACCTGATTTCACCAGTGAAAGTAAACTCTCTGACTTGGAAGTTACTTCATAATATGATAGAAGATCGACTAATCAGAAGTCAACTGTAGAATTCACAAAAAGGCTGTTCTCTGACAATACAATGTGTAGCTTATAAACTGGAGTAATGAGACGTATCTCTGATCACATGCTTACTGCTTTAAAAATGCAGGAACCTGAAAAATACCTGACATCTTGTCCTTTTGCACCAATACAATCAATATTGGGGATTATGAAGACTAGATTTACTTATCCTTTTATCTGACAGGGAAACATGCAGATGTGAAGTGAGCCTATCAGGACCTTTGTGGGACCCTTATTTGTCTTCCTGCACCAAGATAGTAGATTTCTGAAAGAGAAACCACTCTCAATAGTATGTCCTTTTACCCTGTCCATGTTAACAGAGGCAATGTTGACAAGTCTGTGCAGAGTGGAAACAAATCCATTTACTTTGGTCGGTATTAGCATATTCACTTGCTAGAAGCCACAACTATTGCTCATTTGTTCAACTGATAAGAATAGATGAAGAACATGATCCATGGTTAGCCATGTGTGTGTTTGTGTGTGTACAGTGCTTTTCCCCACAATGATAAGTAGCCAGATCATTTACTTCACATAAAATGCAAGAAAACCTCCAAAGATAAAGGGAAGGAAAAGAGATGACTAAAAATATTTTCACTTTTCCAAAGACTAAAGTGTTTAAGACCCAAGGGATGGTGAGGTGACATTCACTAGGTATCACCTTTGTAATTCAATCCCTTTGTAGTCTAGGCATAATTGTCTGCTGGCAAAATAGTTCAACAACTTGTGAAGTATGTCTTAAATCAAATCCTTTTATATACACCCTACTGGAGAGTCATTATACCTCACAAGAAAGATCTGTTCAGTCTTCACTGTGTCCAAATAGGACAGGTTGTCAGGACTCCAGACAACGGATTCCAACCTTCCCCTTTAACTCATGTCAACTACTGGTCCACAATTTATAGCCAAGTTAGATAGGCTGGGAGCGGTGGTGCACACCTGTAATCCCAGTACTCAGGAGGCTGAGGCAGGAGGATCACTGAGTTCGACACCAGCCTGGGCTACATAGTGAGTTCCAGGTCAGTCTCAACTACGTAGTGAGACCCTGCCTCAAAAAAAAAAAAAAAAAAAAAAAAAAAAAAAAGCAATATGGTCTCACTCAAAATTTTACACCAGCCACAGGTACTTTTAAGCAGAAAAATACCAGATAAGGCACTTGCCTGTGATCCCAGCATTCAAGAGACTAAGGCAGAAGAATCACTAATTTAGTCCTGCTGGGGCACTTTAGCAAGACCTTGTCTATAAAAATTAAAAAGGGCTGAAGAAATAGCTCAGTGTAAAGGTCCTGGGCTCAACTGCCACTATTGGGGGAAAAAAAAATACTAGGTAAGACCTTATTGGTTGATGCTTGAGGGCTTCAAGAATTACTTAGGATGTCAGAATTGAAGTCCAGAAATACTTGTATCATAATTTCCTCAATGAGTTTTTGTATTGTCTGCTCAAATTTTTCTTCTTTGCCTCTAAAAATGGTGATGTGGTAGATAACATCCATATTCCGAATTTGTATTTTTCCGTAAGGTAATCACAGGGGAGGAATTAGGTCAAAGGGCATTGAAAGTAATGGGTATTTTTAAAAATTTAATTAATTATTCTATTTATTTAGGTACCAGGAATCGAACTCAGGTCCTTGTGCTTGCAAGGCAGTCGTCAGAACCACTGAGCTAAATCCCCAGCCTTGGATTTAAATTACAATAAATGTGGCCAGAGAATTACACAAGATGTTAGCAATTTGTGCTTCCAACAATCCTGTTTCCAACATCTTTGCCAATATAATAGAAGAAAAAGTGGCGTTTTCTAACTAATGAAGTATGAAGTTTATTTGTATGAACTGCCTATTCATGGCTATTGGTCAATTTTACTGGAATTTTTTATGAAGACCAAATAGAATTAATATATCTATGCTGCAAAATCTACCTTATTTGACTTGTCATCTTTTTGCCATTAAAAATGATTAAATTAACATACAACCAAATATGTTTCTTTATAATTTGGGGGTTTCAAATATTAATTTTTAAAATCTAAAATGTAATCTCAACTTTATTCTTCCGTTAATATTATTTATCTACTGGAATTTATTATTGCATACAGCAAGATCCAGGGTCATGATAATACAATAATTACTAGTTAGGCACATAAAGAACTAGAATAAACACTAACTGAAAGGGAGCAAGTGAAGCCAGGCGTAGTGGTGCCCGCCTGTAATCCCAGCACTGTGGCGAGGTTGAGGCTAGAGAATCACAATTCCCACCCCAGCCTGGCCAATTTAGACACTCGGTAAAACCCCGTTACGAAAGAGCGGGGATGGAGCTCAGAGTGAAGGCCCTGGGTTCAAATTAACCCCCAGGCTGATCAACCCCAAAAGGGGCACGGGCAAGGGAGCAGAGAAAGATTCCACTGCAGGGATTGCACAGCAAGAAGAAGGTCTGGTCTCGGAAGGTCGGGTACAGGTTCCAGCTGTTGGGGAGTCACTCCGACTTGAGAAGGAGCAAGCCTGACGTTCGGTTTCCGCTAACTGGGATCGTGAGGATGGGATAGTTTCCTATCGAGGAACGCTGGCTATGGCTCCTCTGAGTTCTCAGCAGCCAACTGCGAAGGGAGTCTCTTGAAGCCACTGCCCTGCTGTCACAGACCAAACTGGAAAACGGCCAGCACCGAGAGAGTGGCAGGAAGGACAAGAACGCACACACTGGCACTGCACGGTCTGCTCCAGTTTAAAACCCCGCGTCTCAGGTTAACAAAATTTCGTTTGCCCGAGGATAGCGCATGCGCAGCCTCGGAACTGCGCGTACAGAGCGTTCCCGAGCGCAGGGACCGCTGGGAAGATGGCGGGCGCGTTCCTTACCGCCTGGGGTTCTCGTCGCAGCTGGGGCTGGGCAGCCGCCTTTTTAGGCCCCCACCACGGCCTCAGCGTGTTGCTAACAGGGAATCCCCAGCGGACGCCCCGGTGTCTCCCAGGTTAGTGTCTGGACGGAGCGGGATGCCTTTGAAACATCGGCGTTTGGTCCGTTCTGCACCGTGCGTTTTGGGCGCTATATTAAAAAATGCTTACCCCCTTTCTTAGCAATCCACTTCTAGCTGACTTGTACAGTTGAAATGAAAGCTGTAGGAGAGCTCTGCCGCGGCTCTGGGGCATTCGGAGTCCCGATCCTTGCTAACCCTTTATGTTCTGCAGTTTAAGGACCTTCTGCCCTCTGCATGCTTGCCTTCTCTGCATGAAAAGCCAGTACTAGGAAAAATTAAGATGCGACCTTATTGCATTGATTATTAGTTGCTTCTGGGGCTTTACAGGTCGTTACTCTCAAATGCTTAGGCATGCCTTCTCTTGATTTAAGAAAACTTAAAATATGAGACATGTTCTTTGTAAAAGTGTTGATGTCTTTTTTAAGTCCCGTTGTCTTGATGCTCCCACTCAGTGAAAGTTCCGTAATCACTACTCTACAAGGAAACCAGAATTTAGGACCGTATATGTGTTTGTGTGTGTGTGTGTGTGTGTGTGTGTGTGTGTCTGTGTATCAAATATAATATGTGTATATGTATATTGTGTTTGCACCTTTTAATGATATCCTTTCTGTTTTCACACCCTTGACACACAGTTGTCAGGTGCATGGTGCCAGGCATGATAATTAACCTCATTGCAGAGACTCTTTGTTTCTAGTGGGAAAAAACAAAAAACAAACAAAAAAAACAGAACTAAATTTATATAATCAGTTTAACGTATATTCAGTTAACCAAAAGTGTGTATGTCAGTTCACTAAGTAGCATATTCTTTCATCTATTTAGCAAATATTTATTATTTATGCACAGTTAATCCTTATGGCATAAAGATGACTTATGAATATAATATTAGAATAGTCCTTGAATAATTCACCAACATTAAATAAATTGTAATTTTTTCAGGGGAAATTTCTGTTAGAAGGCAATATTTGCAAAGGATAGAAAGGATTATTAGAGAGCTTAATTGAAGAAATTATAAATGAACATTGTTGCTGATACAATATTCTGACCAATGTAACTTGCCCCACTAGCCCTATTTTTCACCTAAAGTTTTAAATTTAACATATTTCTCTATACATTGAAGGACTGAAACAGTTGTGTAATAAGGGTAGATTTAAAGCCTCCAGTTAAGCTTTAAAAAATAAGCTTCACAAATCCAGAGTAGGGGAAAACATTTACAGCACACTGGGAAAATACAGAAATTTTCACTAACCACAAGGAAGTGGAAGAAGACACCATGTAATATTTTTAAAAGATTTCTTAGTCCAGAAGAACACTGTAAAGAAGTATATAAACCTAATGGCTTTGGGGGGAGGAAGTGGGATTTAAAAAAAAATACTGAACTTTGTACTTTTTTTTAAACAGCAAGTATATTGACTTTATAGTAGGAAAAAAAATTAAAACGATGACGGGGAATAACTTGTAAAGTTTACCATTTGAATTGTTCTGTACCAGTCACAAAAGTAAAGCCAATAAATAAAACACAAAGAATGCAAAGTCTGAAGAGAAATCTTTTCTGAAAAAAAAATGATACTATTATATGTTATTCAAGGTTATTTAGAAAGGAATTGCTCCTTGAATTCAGTTCAGCTGAAGCAAAATTATGATGCTTTGTTACCACAGCCCTTGATTTCGTGAGTGAAGTGGGAGAATGAGAGTCAGTAATAAAAGCATTAGGATGAGGGTTGGAACAGTTTCCCAAAGGCTGCCTAAACCTTTTTTTCCCCTACCCATCTCCCCAAAAGTACAGGATGTGAAACTCCTCAAATAAGAGAAGGCTGAAACTAGTGTAGTTAAATCTTAATATTGATTGATACTGTTTAGGACAGATGATATAGCAGCAACAGGAGGATGTTTTTTGGATGAATCACTGTCTTTTGTTGCCTTGGAGTTTCTGCTTCATTGTGTATTTTGAAAGAATGAAGATTGGACTTTGCTCAGAAAAGTTACTAATCTTGACAAAATTTTAAAACTAAAGACTTTGTGCAGAGATACGTTAATTTAGTATGTATGTACTTTGTTTTTCCTATGAAATGGAAATAGTATTTAACATTAACCCAGTGAGTTAGGTTTGAAATATATGATTTTCCAGAAACTAGTTTCAAACTGTAATATATGTTCTGTGTACTTTGTTTAGCTTGCAGGCAAAAGACATCATTCTCTTTCCTTAATCGACCAGACCTTCCAAAACTGGCTTATAAGAGGATAAAAGGCAAAAATCCAGGAATTATCTTCATCCCTGGCTACCTCTGTAACATGAATGGTACAAAAGCATTGGCGATTGAGGAATTTTGTAAATCTCTAGGGCATGCCTACATAAGGTAGGAACCACACATTTCAGAGAACATATTGCTGTCATTTAGTATGGCAATGAAGAATTACTTCTATGTCACCAGTTGAAGCAAATGCCAGTGCTTTAATAGATTCATTTATTTTAATGGTCTATAAACTTCTCTATAATTTTGTGATATAGGGTCATTGTAGAAGTAACCATTAAAAGACCTTTTCAAGATGTCTTTGTGCCATACTGACAATACTGGCAGGAGTGAACATCTTAAGGAAACTAGTGGTGACCAAGTTCTTAAGATACAATAGTCTATATGACAAAAAACATATACTGGTTGGCTTTCTTGAACTCTTCCGTAATTAATTAGTTTTTTGTTGATATAACTATTTGACCACCATCTAAAATATATATGTAGACATGTAAGAATGTACATTTAACATGCCTGATCCCCAGATTTGATCTAGCACCACACACACAAAATTTGTAAAGTAATATATGTATTTAAAAGTGTTACAGCTAGACGAGGTCGTATACACCTGTAATCCCAGCACTCAGCTGAAGCAAGCAGAATTGCCATGAGTTCAAGGCCAGCTTGAACTATATAGTGAATTTGAGCCCAGCCTGAATAATGGACTACATAGTGAAACCATGTCTGAAAACACCACCACCAACAAAAAAGAACTATTGTAAAGTGAATATAGTGACTCACATTTCTACTTATTTTTTTCTTTTACTCCTGTAATCTGATTATATATGAAAATAAATAGGAATAGATGTTCTTTAAAGCTTAATTTTATAATTTCTAATTTTTCACACAGTTGTTTCAGTAAAATAATTTGTTCACTTTGTTGTTAGTTTGTCTATCATGATCACTTACTTAGGGTCATTGCTATCTAATCACAATTAACTATTGATTTCATTTTAGCTTATAAGAGATTTTATCTTTTATTTATATATTTTCTAATTTCTCAGTTTATTTTTAAAGTGATTTTGTGGTGTAAAATTTGCCTGAAAGGGTGGTTTAATAGAGCATTGGCTTGGGATTTAAGAATTACAGGTTCTAGAACAAATTCTGTCGGTAACTATGACCTGACAAGTCAGTTAATAAATAGTGGACCTCATTTTGTCATCCAAAAAAAGAGTTGAACTAAAGTTTGAATTTTTTTCTAGCATTAACAGCATAAAAATGTACTCACCTAAATTTTTAGAAGTTTCACTAAACATTTAATAGTTGTAGAAAATACAGATATATAAATTTTTAGATATTATCTGTTCAATATATTAATAGAATTTATGTCACTTAAGTGGAGTTAGTCTTAGTCCTATTATAGTAACAGATTAATTTCATTTTCATATTTAGAGCTTTAAATGCAAAAGTCACCATGTTAGTGGTACTGAATTTCAGCTGAGACTGAGTTACAACCAATTCCTATCTCCCTGTAAGACTTAATGTGGGGGCACATGCCTGTAATCTTAGCACTTGGGAGGCTGAGGCAAGAAAAATCCTGCAAGTTCTAGGCCAGCCTGGACTAAATAGGGAGACCCCTATCTCAACCCCCCCTCCCACAAAAAGAGATAATGTAGGGGTTCTATATTTTGGATACCATATAAGTAATATCTTTAGTATCTGTGCTGCTGAAGCGAGCACAGAAGTAATAGCTTTATAAAGTATACCCCCCTCGCTATAAAGTTATTTGATCAAATTCCTTTTTATTTGCCCTTATCAAACTTTGCTTCCATATAATCACCATTAACTATTGATTGCATTTTAGCTTATGATAAGAGATGATCTTCTGTCTACATATTTTCCAGTTTACTTTTGTGATGATTTTTGCTATAAAATTTAGACCTTGAATGATGAAATGGGTAATTAAATATAGTACATGTGGCCATATGAAAATGATTTATTAATGTCCCATTGCCATGTCTGAAATAAAACTAAGTCAGCGTTCATGAATATGACATGGGCTTTTAAGGCCGGTACTCTCAGGGTTATTTCTATAGCATTTTTAATTTGGGACTGTGTCCCTGGAGAATGAAGGCTGCTGGCACAGAATAGTGTTACTGTTTAGCATGACTAAATATTTATATAGGCATGCTTTGTTTTACTTTATTTTACTGTGTTTTGCAGACACTGAATTTTTTACAAAATGAAAGTTTATGGCAATCCTGCATCAAACAAGACCAAATGGCAGGCTTCGTTTTTCCTACAACTGAAATGCAGCTTAGTATATTTTAGCAATAAAGTATTTTTAACAACGGGACCATAATCTGTACATCTCACTATTGGACAGCTTGCCCACCAGCGATACATGTAGGACTGTCCCATGAGTAGCTGCACCCCTTCTGCCACCTGTACCACAAGCTTCCCAATGGGACAGTCAGTTGTGTACTGCTGATGCTGGTTCAAACTGAAGGGAGTGTGTTAATCAACGTAGTACTTCTTGTAGGACTTAATATTGTCACACACTTAGTAGACCACACTGTAGTGTAAACCCAACTTTTGTTTGTATTGGGAAACCAAAAATTTCCTGTGTGACTTTCTTTATTGCCATATTCAATTTTTCTGTGGTGGTCTAGAGTGGAACTGCAGTGTCTCTGAGGTGCCTGCAGTTTCTTCATGAAGGACTCACCGAGTGTATATTTGGAAAGTAGTTGGAAGTGATGCTATCTGTAACCATATCCATGTGCTTACAGTGAGGGGAGGAGAGAAATCAGTGGTGTCTTTCTTCCCTCTTCTTAGTCTGTCCTCTAGTACCCTGGATGGGGGCGCGGGGCGAACAGCTGATTTAGACTGCAGCAGAAATCTTCAAATTTCCCAAGGATTGAATATTATGTCACTTCAAACCTAAAGATGATTTTAATTTTATTTTCCTATATCACTTTTAAGTCTCTATCTCTTAAGAAATACATATATACTGTCTATCATATATCCTTTCATAGAACCTAAAAATACTGGAATTCATTAGTTTTCACTAGATTTCAAGAACAAGTGTGAAAGCTTGATATTTGAATAAAGCATTTTTTTAATCTTTTAATGTATTCATTTAGTGACACAATTACCCTCAGTGTGAAGCTTTCATGCCTAACCACTATGAAGAATGCAGAGACAATAAATTTGTTTTCCCTTCCATGATCTTAGGGTTCCACAGAAATGAACTCTCTCTCTTCCTTTCGCTTTCCCTTCTCTTTCTCTCCCTGCCTTCTTTCCTCCCTCTATCTTAAAGAGCAGGATATAATAAATTGCCTATGATTAACAGATTCTATGGAAGTTTCATAAGGAAAAGATATTTTCAACTTAAATAGGATGCCTTTCTTCCAGGACTAGGTTCTGAAAGAGAATATTTTAGTGAAGAAGGTAATAGAGAAGGTGTTCCAGGTGACCAACAAATTAATTGGCTAATGTAGTAGTTTCCTCTGATAAGGTGATAAAAGATCAATCTGAGATCATCAGAATATAATAATCTGAAAACAGTAGGCCAAAGCACTAATGTTCTTCCTTACAGGGAGACATTGAAGGTAAAGACATAATATAATTTTCAAGAAAAAAGCAACAGGTATAAATGGATCTGTTGGGAGACAGAATCATTGAGACACTGATAATCTGCATTTAAGGTCAAAAAGACCCACACCAAGATCTGGGCCTTATCGAAATGCAAGTACAGGGATGAATATGAGAAGAAAAACAAATGAGTGATGATGATACAAGGCAGGCAAGCAAATTTGGATAAGCAGTCTGCCCTTAACGACCTCACAGTCTGATCAAAGGGACACAGATACTTAAAACTTGTCGACAGCCAGGGATTTAGCTCAGTGGTGCTGCCACCTGCCTCGCAAGCTCAAGGTCCCGAGTTTGATCCCCAGTACAAAGAAAACAAAAATTATTATAACAAAAAATATGAAAAATGTTCAGTGCATACAATAGAAAGTGCCTGGTGCTAAATTGGAAAAGTTTACCAAAGCAGGTGACATGACTTAAAGGATAACTAGGAGTTTGATTGGGGAAGGAAGAATTTCTTGATGAGGAAGCAGCATGCAGAGGCTCAGAGTTCTGAAAGGGCTTCTCTGAGAATTAGGAATATTCAGTATGACTAGGGTTTAGGGTAGTCTGTGGGCATCATATGGTACTTTATGATTTATGGAGTTGCAACTTTGAAGGAGAGGTAGAATTCACAAATGAAGCACTATTTGTACCTGGATACCTAGGAAGTTAAAAGGAGAATTGGACACGTTTATGATAATAAGCTCGATTCTGGTCTCCTTCCCTCCCTTCATTCAGCACTTAGCACTTGCAAGGTACTGATACAGGCATTAAGAGTTTCCTTTCTAGGACAAGAGGCAGGCCATAAATATTTACCATGTCAAGCAGTAGTGAGTGCTAGGAAGAAAAGAAGGAAATGGAGAATGGTGAAAGAAGCACAGTTTTGCTGACTGAGTGCTTGAGAAGACTTCCGGCGATGTAATATTTGAGCCAAAGCAACGAACGAAGTGAGGGACCAGTCTGATATCCAGAGATGCAATGTCCCCATAGAGGGAAAAGCTGGAAAGGCAAGGATGTGAATGGTATATTCCTTTAGCTTGAAGAGAAAAGTGAGAATACAGTTGGGAGGGTAGGAAAGACAGGACGGGGAGAAGGGAGGTTAGGGGCCAGAGTGTGGTAAGGACTCTGGATTTTATATCAAAAGCCTTTGCAGGGTTAACACAAGATGTACATGTTTTAAAATGATCTTAAGACTACTGTGGAGAACAGAGTGACAGTGCAACATAGAAATGAAACTATTAATCTGAAGACAGTAGTGACTTGGAGAGGAGAGTTGATTGGGTGGCAGAGATATCTGATGACTAAGCCAATAACATTTTCAGAAATGAACACTGATGTTTTACTATATTTTAGGCATTATAATAATGAACATTAGGGCTGGGGATTTGGCCCAGTGGTTCCGCTTCCTGCCTTGCAAGGGCCAGAGTTCGATCCCTGGTACCCCCCCACCAAAAGAACATTATAGTATGTCTTTAAAATCAAAGAAGTAAATACATAGATATATGATATTTAGGTGTAAATATATATTTTCCCCTTTCCAGGTTTGATTACTCAGGAGTTGGAAATTCAGAGGGTAACTTAGAAGAATGCACGGTGGGGAAATGGAGAAAAGATGTTCTTTCTGTAATTGATGATATAGCTGTAGGACCACAGGTGACTATTTTTGTCATATATGATGATAATTATTAATTCTAACCTTATGACATGTAAGATATAGATAGGAAAATTGGTTTAATATTTTAAATGTTTAACAGCTTTGATAAACAATTTCAGTCTTAAAATTTTCTGTCATTTTCATATTGTAATTTAAGTAGCAATTTACTTGTTATAAATTTTATTCTCATCATTTATACTATAGACCTAGAGTTTTACAAAATGTTAATTGAATTCTGTACTAAATATTAGAAGTCTGGGAACTGCACCATATAAATACCAAGTACATACATTTCTATGAACTGTCTTGCTATCTTTGTAGGAAAGAAAAATCCTGTTTAAAGCCATCTGTGTTGTCCTTTTTAGATACTGGTTGGATCTAGCCTTGGGGGGTGGCTTATTCTTCACGCTGCAATTGCACGACCAGAAAGGGTGGTGGCTCTCGTTGGTGTAGCTACAGCTGCAGACACCCTAGTGACACAGTTCAGTCAGCTTCCTGTGGAGGTAAGTCACGGTCCCTCTAGCATGCTCTGTGTACACCTCCGGTCGTTCTTCTGCCTTCCCTGTCTTTGAACATTTATGTCTCCTCATCTGTCCTTGCACTTACTGTACTTCGCTGCCTTTTTGTAAGACTTCTTTTTTTCATAGTCCTTTCAAATTGTTCTGCTAAATAGTTAAACCATTTTAATGTGATCACACCTTGCAATTTCTTTTTCAATCACATCTGCTTATTTGGTTCATATGTCATGATCTCGTTTTGTACCTCTCATTCTTACTTTGTGGCATCTGGGCAGTAGTGCTTGTTCTTAAAGACCATGTTATACTGGACTCATAAATTCTGAAACATTTTAGCCTGAAAGCAGGCTCAGATCGTGTCAGCAGACCTTATCAGTCAATCAGTGTTAGCACACTAGAGATAAAATTTGCCATTTCTGACTTTATTGCTTAGTCAGCATTCTTTTTCTCCTCCTGATTTGTACCTTTAAGGAACAAAGTGTGCATTTCATTTGCATGCTCTGAAGCAAATCCGATAGAAATGTAGTTTGTGAAATAAATGGAAAGATAATTAGTTTATTATGCTCTGTTATTGGACACGTGTTTAAGCACTTCATTTGTCTGCAAAGATGAGGAAATAATGAGTGGTAACTATTTTTTATGTATTTTGTTTGTTTTGCAATCAATTCAGTTCTCTTTGTGGTTCCCGCAGCACCAGCCAGGGATCTGAATTTCATCTATGAGCCAGACATGGCTTGTGGTGCACACCTATAATCCTAGCATTCAGGAGGCTGAGGCAGGAGGTTCACCACAAGTTTGAGGCTAGCCTGAGCTATATAGTGAGTTCAAGGGTATCCTGAACTACATAACAAAACCCTGTCTTAAATACCCACCCAAATAAATAAATAAATAAAATTTTTCCTCTGGGACTAAATTGATAGCCAGCCTGAAGTGTAGAAATGAAAGAGGGCCAGGGATTTATCTCAGTGGTTTTGCCACCTGCCTTGCAAGTGCAAGGTCCTGAATTCAATCCCCTGTACCAAAAAAAAAAGAGAGAGGGAGGGAGAGAAGAAAAAAGAAAAAAGGAAGGAGAAGAGAGAGAGAGATGAGAGAGACAGACGAAAGAAAGAAAGGAAAGAAAGAAGGGAAGGAAGGAAGGAAGGAAGGAAGGAAGGAAGGAAGGAAGGAAGGAAAGAAAGAAAGAAAGAGAGAGAAAGAAAGAAAAAGAGAAAGATGGACGACCTAAAGCTAGGCATGCCTGTAATCCCAGCATTTTGGAAGGCTGTTGCTGAAAGATGCAAGTTTGAGTCTAACATGGGAGACTTAGTGAGAGACCTTGTCTCCACATTTTTTTGAAAAGGTTGGGGATGTAGCTCAGTGCAGAGACCCTGAGTTCAGTTGCCAGTACTGCAAAACAAAACAAAAAACACCCTAGAGCACTGGTTCAAGAAGTATGTGCCAGGGATTTAGCTCAGTGATTCTGCCACCTGCCTCACAAGTTCAAGGTCCTCTGTTCAATCCCTGGTATCAAAAAAAAAAAAAAAAAAAAAAAAAAAAA